TGCTAACAAAGAATTACCCTTTAAAAGCAGTAGCCTATTGCATATTCATATATCTCATATATGATTTCAAACATTTCTTTTAAACAAGGTGTTTCTTCTTAATTTTGGCTTTCCCCCCATCTTGTGAATCAACTTTCTTGGTTCCTCCAAGTCTGAGCTTTCTTGATAAGGAGACAATAATTCTTCTCTTGGGATCTTGGTGTCTGTTGCTGTTATCTCGATCTAGGTAGGATAATGTGAAGAATTTTTTGATTATCTTTTCTATTCCTTAAGCTAGTTACAAAAAAGTATCTTACATCACATAGTTTCTATTATGCTATAGCTTAAAAACTATATTTACTACACTACTTAAAAGAGATTAGTACAGCACTACTTAAAAAAGAGAAATATAGCATAACTTTCTAATGTAACACATATTGTATTAATTTTAATATTTGTGAAAAGCCAGTATTATAATATGTATTTATAACTCACAATGTGGATTTTTCTGTCCAATTACAAAATACTACCTAAACCCACTAAGGTGAGGAAGAACAACCAGCCACTGCCCTAAAACCTCCATCTTGCCCCATATATATTGGTATATTCTAAAACCTTAAACTCTTAAGTTTTCCACCCTGTGATATTACACACTTGTAATCAAACTACACCCTCATAATCCCTGTGCTATCAATCAATTTTGGAAGCCTTCTCCACAGCCTCAGGTTAAATATAATATTTTCTAGTGGGTCTTTGCATTTCAGCACAGAGAGTTTAAAATTCTCAGCACAGAAAGTTTAAAATTCTCAGCACCCAGGATTCCACGAGGGATCAGTGCTGATGTTGGTGCTGCCTCAATTCTGGATTACCACATCAAGAAAAGGCAGCTTGCACGCAGGTTAAATCCAGCCAGCAGCCAGGGGAAAAGGCGTTGTGGGAGAAGAAACAAGATGGAATGGAAATTCAAGCACCTCGTGGCTTTCTTGAGGAAATGGATTTGTTCTTTGTGATGGAGAAAGGCACAGTTGTTAATATTCTCTTTATTTGCCAACAGACGTGCCTTGCAGCGCCGTGTCTGCTACCAAGCTGTGACAGGCTGGCTGTTGTAAAGCGAGGTACTTTGCATAATTAGTGTGAAGACGTGAACAGATGAGCACTAATTCTTAGAAGTTAATGATTGTCAATTATCTCCCCCCTTTTTTTTTCCTGGATCTAGTCCAAGATTAACGGAATATCAAGTACCTCAAGGTACAGTGCCTTAATTGGCCCAAGCACTCTTTATTGCCAGATGTCACCCCAAAACGTGCCTTTGCCTTTTGACCTGCCTTCATCAGCAGTCAGCTCAGCTTGCTGCTGTTTGAAAGCGTTGTTTTCTTTTTAATTCCTGGGCTGGAGGTTGTTTGGATCCATAAGCTGATCCGACCTGACACATGGCTTGGAGATCGTTAGTGCAGACAGAAGGGCAGCGAGAAGGGTGAGACTATCCCTTGCAGCACCAGGAGATTTTATCTTGCTTTAAACCAACAGAGAAATCCCAGCTTCTGCCTAAAAGTGGTGCAAAAATTCCCACTTCACTTATTTCAACTTCTTACCCACTCCAGAAGTTGCCTCATAGGTGGATAAATAGCTTCCAGCTCTTGTCTTGCCCAAATCTTGGTGAAATCCAGCATTTTGGAGCTTCTGTTTTGTTTTTTTCAGCAGCAGTTTACTGTGTGTTTAACTGTGGTTATGTAGATGGTGGATCCAGAGCCACAACTTCCAGGGAAGCATCCCAAGGCCGACAGGTTTGTGTGGAGGTTGTTGTTTCCATATGAATTTGCTGAAGCAAAACAAAATGAGTGCTTGTTTTGGAGATGGGAAAAGTCATGGATTTTTGTTCCCAGGACAGTCTTTTTGTTTTTTGTCAGATGACTGTTTAATGTGAAATCCAAGAAAATGCCTTTATTTTCCCCCCTCTGACTTTATACAGAGTTTAGCCTGTATTGTTTAAAAGCATGTTGTAAGAATTCTAATTATTCTCTTCCCTATTTCTGAAAGGCATCTTTCTTCAGGCACTCAAGTCTTCTGTGTTTGGTGTCAGCCTTTGAATGTAATGATTTATCCACATTTGAAATGACGTTGAAAATTTTTCTGTGAAGGAGCTTTTTCAAAGAATTCTCTCATTCTCTCACTTCTTAAATAAGGCTAGGAAAAATATTCTGCTAAATGTCTGTTTAATATTAAGAATGAAATAAATACCTTTATTGGACATAACATTGTGAAATAATGAATGTATAATTTGCTCTGTGCTTTGACATTTTGTGTCAGGACACACAGCACTGACATCCAGATTTACCTGGCAGAAATGTTTAAGGGCTGCACCAAAGTTACAATTTATTTGAAAAATAATGAAAATAATTTAAGGAGAGTAAAATTGCCAACCTGAAAACTTAAAATAAGGAAAGATACCCAACCTGCAAGGACTCTCCTCTCCGAGTTCTTCTTCCCTTTCTCTACCCAGCACTTGCACTGATCAGAAAATACTTTCCCAGAACTCAAGACAAAAACTCCATTTATTTTGCTTTTGTCTGCTCTGGTCTTCTTGCACAGGCTCATAACACTACTTCTTTTAAATGATTAATGTGTTTTATTGGGTCACTCTTTAGAAGCTTTTGAAATTAAAATTTAAATACCTTAGGAATAGCTTACCTTGTTTCCTAGGTATTATTTTTTAATAAAATGGAAGAAGTCTTTCCCCATGAGTTTCCATAATTGTTCTTTGTCAAATTGAGTTCTATCCATTTTTCTGTAAGTGATCAGTACAGGGAGGGGAAAAAAAGGGTAGCAAAATCAAGATGTGTATTGCTGCTCTGTTTATAATGCTTAAGAAGTTCTAAAAATGTTACAGGTCCTTAAAAAAACCTGCTTTTGTCTGGAGAATTAAATTTGCCTTCAGAGTTGACAACAGCAAAAGAATTATTGCATCTTGTTTTTGAGGAGCTGAAGGAAAATCTCCTTCTTGTGCCCTCAGCATTTTTCCTGTTGACTGCTTCTTTCCTCACTTTGAGCAGGAACAGGAAAATGCATCCTCTGATATGGAAAATGCTTTATTAAAAGTCACTCTGGGAGCTGCTTGCTGTGTCAATGCAGAAGTCCTTGGACATAATTTTTCTCCCAATCCTTCCAATTTGTCCTTCAGATCCTCTCAGAAATCATGGAAACATTAAAGTTGCTTTCATATTCTTGGTAGTTTGTTTTTTTCACAGAGGCTCCAGCAATCCTGCAGCTGCTCCTAAATAACTGTGGGCTTGTGCAACTTGTGTTGCTGTTTCCATACCAACAAATGAAATAAGTGCAATTTGTGCCCACAGTGAAGAGTCTGGGGATTTTTTTCTGCTCTCTATCTCGTGATATGGGAAGTACAAAAAGATGAGCTCTGAATAGCTTATAGTGAATCATCTGTCAGCCAGCTGCTCTGGGCTCCTCTTTAATGATGGGATGAAAATTTTCCAGAATAAGATACAAACCTTAATTTTGTACAGCTGTGAGAGTCAGGTTTAGGTGAAGTTTGGAAGAATGAATAATTACTAGTTGCTTAAATGTGTAGCATAAAGTTCTGTGTGGTTTTTGTGGACTTCCTGGCATCACCCTTGTGGGCAAACATCTGATAGTACCTGATGAAGTCTTTGCTGTCATCAGTGGCTTTAATTTCTGTTTCCATATCTAAGACTGGATCAAAATATCCATCCATCCATCCATCCATCCATCCATCCATCCATCCATCCATCCATCCATCCATCCATCCATCCATATAATATAAATTGAAATATTCCAGGTAAAAAGAAAAATTGAGGGATTCAGAACTGAAACATTTGACCTAAAAAGGGATAAAAATAATGCTGGAGACTGCAGTGACTTTGTGCTTCTTGTGAAAGTACCTCCAAATGAAGTGTTGTGTGTCCTTTATCACTGATGTTTGAATTTCACTTAGATTTGCCATAATGGAAACCTTTCATGTACATTCTTTCAGAAAAAGTAGAGCATAATAATTGTAGTATTGCTGAAAAGACCTATTTGCTTTTTCACTTGGATAAAGTAATGCTGAAAATAGAAATATTTGACCTTACTTTATTGTTTGTTTGAACTGCTCATAAATTTAGATCTGTTTGAATGTTTCTGTAAGAGACATTTGTTTCCTGGAGCTGAACAGCTCATAGTTCTATAAACAAGTCTATAAACAAGAAATCCCATTCAGTAATATCAACAGTGAAATTTCTTGTCTTTTATCTGTATTTAAACAAACTCACAGAATGTTGCCTGGAAGCACAAATTGTGTTGCTCTCTGTGTGGCTGTTGTAGCTGAAAGATGCATATTGGGCAACTGAATTAAAATGTATATAATGAACTATTCACTTTGATTATAAAAAAATCTGTCTGGCTGTTGCAGATGGAATTTTTGCCTGGTTTAAAGATAAATATTGGACAGCTGAATTAAAATTTATATAATAAACTATTCATTTTTATGATAAAAAAAATCTCAGCAATATTTGGTATTGTTTCTTTTCTCTTTAATGTTTGAATTGATGATCTTGGAAGTATTTTCCAACTTTAATGATTCTCCTGATGGTGCTGGAGGTGCCAGAACTCTTTCCCAAACTCTTGTTGGGATGTAGGTGCACCCATGGTCCCTTCTGATGTTACTTTGCTTTTTGCTTCTCTGGTAGAAAAGGGAATTTCTGCTGGCCAGGTGGGAGCAAACTGAGCAGCAATTTTTGCCACGTTGGAGATTAATAGAGCTCATGGGTTGAAGGAATAGTTAAAAATTCCTCTCTTCTCTCAGTGCTGTGGACTTCATCTTTTAGTGGGCAAAAATTATCAGGAATGGTTTGATTTAAGGTCCATGTGTCAAGAAGAAATCCCCATGTTGAAGTGTGTCCATTTACTTTCTGTAATAAAGAAAACAAAGCTGGGTCAGCTCTTCAGCCTCCCAGTTGGACATTTCTCAAAAGCGACCTTGAGGACAAATTCTCTTTCTTTTGCAGCTGCAGCCGCCTCCGAAATATTCAGGCTATCCTGACGCAGAGCAACAAATCTCAGCCTGATGGAATCCTCTGCATTTTAGGTTAGTGTTACATTTTTTGTTCTCATTGTGCTGATAAAGATACCATGAGTTTCAGAAAGAAGAAAATCATTTTGCTGCTCCAAGCCCCAGCCTGGTTTCTCAGAGCATGAACAGCTGATGTTACACTCTCTCCTCCCTAAAAAATTCTTCAACCTATTTACTAATTTTGAGCAAAGAATTTTAAAGAGTGGCCTAAGAAACCCAGGAAGCAGTTAGGAGTTAAATGTTGGCATGTGAAATTAATGTGGTTTCAGTGCTTTATTTCTTCTGGGATTGGGAGAAAAGGGCAGCAGGAAATAAAGGAGCATATGTGCAAGTGTGCTGTAGGAAAATAACAGGGGTTTTGTATTGCCTTAATACCATTTCATTGACTCTTGTTTCATGTTATATAATCAGCGTCAAGATCTTAAAGGAAAAATGCAGACATTACTATTTAAAACTTGAGTCCTTAGAGAAAAGGACTGAGGAGTAATTGTTTAAATAATATATTGCAGTTTAAGAGAAGAAATTTGCTGTAGCCCTAAAGAAGTTCTGTGTAGGAAGTGATACCACAGTCTGTTTTTTTTGTTTTGTTTTGTTTGTTTGGTTGGTTTTTTTGTTTTGTTTTGTTTTATTCTGTTTTTTAATGATGTAGCAAGAAAACTTAAAGCTCAGTTACTGGACCACAAAATGAAATTTATAAATACATATAACCTCATTTTCTTCTAGTCAGTGTTAACTGTACTACATGACCCTTCCTACCCTGCATTCTCTGGGGTAAGAGGTTAAGTCTCTGACTAAGTAGTAACTGTACAGCCAGAAGCTCTGTGAGGTCACTGTGTCAGCCTTCCAGTGAAACTTAATCATACAGGATAAACTCCTTGGGTTTTGCCTTTGCTGCTAATTTAATTCCATAAAATTATTGTGAACTCTGAGATTGCAGAAAGTCCCAGGTAAAGAACAGTCACTGAAAACATGGCCCAGATTTAAGGAAAACAAAGGAATTGCTTTGTGTAATCCTCAGTGTCGTGTGGAGGATTTAATTCTATTCATAAGAACATACCTCTTAATAAATAAGCACTTGTGGCATGGAAATGCAGGAGGTGTGTTTTGTTGGGAGATTTGTGCTTTACCCACAATGGGACTCTTGTCTGCACTGGCCTGGCTCCTGTAGTCTGCAGAATTTTTGGCATGACTTCCATGAAACAGGCATGTCACTGTTATAAATGCATTAAATCTGTCATCAAATACAAGCTTCTGATGACAAAACCCATGTAGTTTTACATCCTCTTGACTTGTGTGGAAAGTGAATACTCACAACTATGTTTTTTTACAGTCAGTGCATGTTCTGTTTCACTTGGCTGCTTTTAATAGCCTGGAGTTAATGCAGTTCCCTCACCTCAACTTTAGTTTCATACTGGGCTGTGAGATAAAACCTGTATAAACTTCCACAGCTTTGCTTCAAGTTCATTAATATTTGTACTAAAATTAAACCCAGCATTGTGAGATCGCAGAGAGAGATGGGAACTGACCCACTGTTGATACAAGTATTTAAATGTAGTTACAGCTGATTTTTAAAAGGAATCCTCTAATCTGATTTTGAAGGGGTTGCATGGTAACATTCCTGCATTCTTTGCTGGGGAGAAAAGGCCTCACAACTGACATGAAAAAGGAATTTGAAGGTTGGCATGTCAAATGTCTTTTAAAAGCTGTGATGTCTCAGCTGTGTGTTGCTGTTTCAACTGGTCTACTTAAATGATTCTGTGAACTATTTTTTATGATCGTGGTGTTTCTTGGCATCTTACCTTTCAGCAGAGATTTTCAGCTCGTGGTTCAGTTGCTGTGATTCCTGAGGATGTGCATTTGCTGTGAGCAGGGTGTGTTTGTAACTGGCTGGAGTTGTAGCTGCTCCGATTGTGGATTAAACTGTTCCACCATTCAGCACAGCTGAGCTGAATTTCTGCAAATATTGCTATTCATTTTTTATTCTCCTTGAAGAGTGTGGGGATACTTTCAAGGCTGTTCCAGTAAATATTTATTTTACTTTGGTTCTGTTCACATATTGCTTTTTTAGATTATAAATAATCTAAATGATTTATTTAGATGATATTTTTAGTTTATACATATTATATATATTAAGTATTTTAATATATTTTATATATTATATAGAATATATAATATAATAATTTTATGTTATGGAGTATTTAGATTAATATAATACTATATATTTAGATACTATTAATATATACTATAAAAACATAGTGTAATATATTATATAATAATTAATATTATATAATACAATCTATAATATATTTATATCTGTTATTTATATATTATTATATATCAATAATATAGAATATATAATATTTATATTATATATAATTATAATAAATATAATAATATTTATTTATATAATATATAAATAAATAATCTAGATTATTTATTTATAAATATTCTAGATTTACAGAAATAATCTAGTTTATATATAAATATATAGTATATAATGATAAGATAATAGATATAATATACTATATAATGTAGATATAATCTAGATTTATATAAAGAATGTAATTTTGTATATAATCTAGATTATAAATATATAAACTAAATAAATAATCTAGAAAGCAATATGTGAGAAAGAAAACAGAACCAAGAAAGGTAACGTTCACACGATCTTTTTTAGATTATTTTTTCTCCATTATATCCATCCCACCCAGAGCTCTCCCTGCTGGGGTTTCTCCCACATTCTGAGAACCTTTAGCACATTGCTCTGATCGTTCATCCCATTCCCTTTCCAAACAGAGACAATCTGAAGGATTATTTAAGGATTATTCTGCCAGCAGTTCCAGAGCTGTGTGTTGGTTTTGGGTATCTAAAGGTGATGTGTCCATTCCCTCCTGCTGTCCCCACGTCATTTCACATCCCTGCCGGTGCCCTTGGGTATCCTGCACCCACTTTATCTTTTAAAATCGAATTGGACCAAATTACCGGACTTGTCCAAGGTGGATGGGCCACCTTTACTTAACCCAGAAAAGGAACATATATTATTTATATGTGTTCGAAAAATAGCCAGCAGAAAGATCTCCCCCCCAGATTTGGCCAGAAAGTTTTCTGCCAATGTAGCAAACTGAATGGGCTCGCTGAATGGCAGCTGAGCCCTGGCCTGCCTGGGGAGCAGAGCCGGAATTTCGGGGCTCAGGCTGACTCACTGCCTGCCCACACCCGGCCATGGTTTGGGAGTTACAGACTCCCAGCTCAGCTGGAGACAGGCTAGGGCTTTCCTAATTAATGGCCTTGCCCATTGTTCTGGGGAGGATTCCTGATACGCTCTCGGGGGTATCTTATCTTGGTCATTGTTTGGTTTCCTGTTTGTTTTCTGCTAACTATATCTGTTCCTTTAACTCCACATGTAGCGCTAGGCTCTCAGTGTGAAGGGTCCTGTCTGGACAGGATACTTGAAAGACCCAAGTAAACCATAAATGCTAAATATTCTGCAGAATTCATGATTTTATGTTAAACAAATGCCTTCCCTGCATGGCTGTCACTGCTCTGTAAGCAATAAATTCATCCATGTCCTCTGTTTATAAGAGTTAAATTTGTCAGCTGTCCCCCTTTAAGATCTTTTGTTTTCTCTTCCCCTCCTTCTGTCATTAACTGAAAAAGCAGGGGTTTGGGGTTTGGCTTGGAAGATCTGCTCTAAGCTGCTATACCCAGATAAAATCTCAAACTCCTTGCTTTTGCCTTTGCTGCTAATTTAATTCCATAAAACATGTTAACTGATGACACTGCAGTATTTCTTAATTATTGTGAACTCTGAGACTGCAGAAAGTCCCAGGTAAAGAACAATCACTGAAAACGTGGCCCAGCTTTAAGGAAAACAAAAATTCCAGAAATTAGAATCACAGGATCATAGAATAGTTTAAATTGGAGGGATCTTAAAGATTACATAGTTCTAGCCAGGTGCCATGGGCAGGGACACCTTCCACTATTCTTCTCTTTTCTGGGCTGGACATTCCCAGCTCTTCAGTCTGTCTGTGCCAGATTATTGCTCCTCTGAGCCTTCAGAAGGTGCCTCAGGCAGGTAATCAGTGAAACAGATTATCCTCAGGAGATCATGTATGCTCTCTTGCCAAGGCTGCAGCGATTCCAAGGAGACTGATTATATTTAAATAGAGTTTCCCTAAAACTATGGGACAGTTTCTTCCTGCAAGAAGGGAGCCTCCACTTGTTTGTAACTAAAATCCCACCTAGACACGAGGGCTTTGGCAGCAATATTTGTATGTTGGGTCCCTTTGAATTCCAGATTACATTGGTGTGCCTGCTTTCGTGGGGCTGAAAATCTAAATAAGATAGAGGGATACCTATGAATGAGAGGTCAGAAGCAGCAGGAGAATGAGAATTCAAACATTATGGCTGGAAAAAAAACTTTGAGGGCTGAGAAAGCTGGGACAGATGTGAGGCAGCTTTCCACTAAATATCAGATACCTTGGAGTACATGTGAGCTACCCAAATTTACTGAACAAAGAGTTTATTAAGATGTGGGATTCACTAGCTGGATGCAGACACATCATTTTGTTAGCCCTCTAAATCTGAAGGATGAAAAAGGAGCATAAACAGGAGAACCTAAGGTTTTTTCCATTTTTTGCCAAGTCCAGGTGACTCTTGGCTGTTTTGGTTTCTATGGGCTGTTTTGGTTCCCATGTCAAATGCTGAGACTCAGCTGTTCAGGCCATGTTATTACATTATCAATGTCCTGATCTCTCCTTTAGCAGTGGTAACAAATCTAAATTTGTTGGCAAGCATTCCACTGAATTCTAATATAACTTGATATGTAAACTTGCCATTAGAGGAATTTTTGGCAGTCAAGACTGGTGACCTCTGTGAAATGTGGATAGTAAGGATGCTGCTAATTTATGTGCAGTTGTACTTGTTTGAAAAACCTGGGTTTATTAAAGTAGAATTATGACCGTGACTGTCATCCAGAGAGAGGAAGATTGATGAAAATAATTTCTAAATCTGGCTTCATCCTTTCCTTTTGTATTCATCTTCTGTCTCCAGATCTTCAGCTGTTTTCATTTAATTTTCCCAAGGACCAGGAAAGGTTTCCTTGGAAGCTCTATGTGCCCCATATTTTTTGTCAGAAATCTGCAGTGGCTCTCTGGTGACTCAGGGATTGCTCTATAACACTGATAAGATAATGTTTAATCATGTATTCTAAAGCAGGAGATTTGGGTCACGGGATTAGTTTGTTAGGAAGCTTCAATCAAGAACATATTAATTAGAATGCATCCAGACAGATGTTTGAATTACTAGAAAAAATGGAATTTTGGATGCAGAGCACTGCAGAAAACAAGGCATTTAAAATTTTTAAGGAATACTCGTGGATTTAGGTTGAAAGGGGGATGTCAGTGTGTGGCAGTGATCTTGCAAAAACTACTTTTTCCCTACTGTTCTCTCAGCGTATTCAGTTGAGGAGTTGAGTTCATACTCCTGCTTTAAAATTTATTAAATTGGGGAAGAAAAGAAACTTTTCAGGTGTGCAGTATTAGGACACACAAAAATTCTCCTGTGGTTTGCTTTTGCAGGGATAGACAGTCGATACAATGAAGGGTGCAGGGAGCTGGCAAATTATCTGCTCTTTGGTTTGTACAACCAGAACAACAACGACTTTGAAAGGACAGGTTTTCCTGAAGAAGTTCTGGATGGTGAGTAATGTTCTCAACATTTTTACCTGTTCTGGACAGAAGATGAGCAGAAAAAGGGACATAATAAAAAAAAAAAAAAATAAAGGTCATTAAGTCTCACGTTGTCTGTATATGCCTGAAAATATTTTCTTAGAAGCACTGCTGAAGGATCTTCTTAGAAACACTGCTGAAGGACTCATTTTTAAACATAAAAAGATATATTTCCTATGTATTATGCTCCACAATTTACCTCAAATGTTGTAAATTTACCCATTTACAGTCCATTAGTTCAGTCAATGTATGCATGTACATGTTGTTAATATTGTGTGATCACACCTCTGCACTTCTAAAGTACTTGAGCTCTTTTTACTTCCCCACATTTACTCACCTTTGTCATACTTGGAATGTGGCCCTGTGATCACAGCTTATTATTCTCTTATTTGTATGAAACTTTTGGATATCTCCCCCATAGGCTGTGGTGTTGATAGTTTTTATTTGAAGCAACTCTGATGTAACATCAGGCAAGAGCAGCTGGAATTCAGAGTTCTGGAAGTGCTCTGGGAAGACTCATCCTGACCCTCTTGGCTGCACAAAGGACAGGCTGATGCAAGTTCTGTGCAAGACTTGGGAATTACCCCCCAGTTGTCTGGAACAGGAACAAGTGCTCTTGTGCTTGGAACTGTCTGTGGCTGCCAACTGCTTCTTCTGCTTGTTTAAAAGAAATCAGGAATTGCACTGCATTCAGATAGCTGAACAATTTTCTTTTTTTAATGAGGTGCATAATGGAAAAAATGTTTTCTGTTCAGTTTCTCATGTGTGTGGAGTTCTGATGCTGGAATGTTTGTTCTGCTTGTTGCAGATATAATCATATTAATAAAACCTGACAGTGTTCATCTGTACTGCAACCCTGTGAATTACAATCATCTTTTACCCTATGTGGCACACTGGAGGAACTTGCATTTCCACTGTCTGACTGAAAATGAGGTAAGTGAAAAATGAATGCAGACAAGATTTGTTAATGAACTTGTTAATGAGCTGATCCTTAAAGTGAAACTTTTAAAAACATTCTTTCCAGAAGCCTTTTTTCTTTTTCCTCCTCAGCAGAGGTGTGATATATGTGTATATCTGGGTATTAATAATTTGCTAAAGTCTGCAAGAAGAATATGTTGTCAATACTTTTATTTGTTGGAGTGTGAGGACAAATTGCTCCTCTCTCCCACTAATTGCTGTTGTTTTGATCTAAGTCAGTGATACTTTAATGAGGGGAAAAAAATTGGGTTGTGAAAAATGCAAAATGTGAATAAAGTATCACAGTCAATGCTGAGATTTCCCACATCAGCCTTGCTTGCTGCCAAAGCAATGGTTGCATTGGCTGCCAGTAGTTTGAGAATATTAGAAAAGATGGCCTTAGTAAGTCCTTTAAAATAAAGAGATTTCATTATGTATTTTCATTTTAACTATTAAATCTTTCTGTCAGGAACTGTTAACCTCACTTCCACTACATCCCATGACTGATGTGACTTTCATCTTGAACTTAAAAGTCAAAGTTTTCTAGAAAAAGTCCATTTATTGTTGTGAAGTATTTTTAGAGGTGTGAAAAATGAAAATACTCTTTGGGTGTAGAATAAGGACCTTTTCATTCCAGTGGAGACTGGAAATGCCTCTTCCTACATGAAGTTCTGTGTAGTTCCTTTTCTAAGTTAAGAATTGTGCTGAATTCTGCAGGGAGTAGGTTTGGAGCGTGTGATGGTGGGTGAAGCCAGGGGAAAAACTAATGGGAAAGTCAGGGAGAGGAACTTTTTGTTCCCTTGAAATTCCAGCTTGGAAGTGATGGGGCTTACAATAGACTGGTTGTGTTTTTATGTGTCTGGTTGATAGCTTAGATCACAGAATTAGGAAATAATTCAGCTTGCAAGGAGCCTCTGGAGATCATCTTTTCCAACCTCCTGCTTCAGAGGTGAGATCAGATCAGGTTACTCAAGGTTTTTGTGCAGCTGGGTGTTGAAAGCATCCAAGGATGACTGCAGAACCTCTGTGCTGCATTTTCCCACTGTCCTCCTAGTGAAAAACTGTTTCCTTTTGTCAACCCCAAACCTGGTTTGTTTTAAATCATGTCTTTTTTCATGACCACTGTGGAGAGCCTGACTTCACCATCTCAGTAATATTTTGGTGGGTTTGAGGTGCACATACTGAGCAAGCCTGGATCTCTCCTTCTGGGACAAGTGCTGCAGCCCACTGATTGTGGTGGCCCTCCACTGATCTTGCTCCAGTTTATAAATACCTTGTCCATGGATCCCAAAACTTGTTGTGGGTACGATTCCAGGAATGCAGCAGAGAGGCATAATTCTTGTTAGGATAACAACAGCTGAGCTCCAGGTTGAAACATGCCACAGCAAAACCTAAAGCCTTGCTTCACAAGGTTTTTTTGTTGCCAAAATCCTTGCTGAAAGGGCAAATCTGATGCTGGGAGAACACGTGCACTTTGGAATCAGGAGCAGAGAAGTTCTTACCACACAGTTGCCAGTGCAGCTGCATTCTCAGCTATTGAATTTTAAGCTTCATCTGCTTATAGGCTTTGATATGATTTATCATGGTAAGCAGGAGCCTTAATCACACAGTGTTGGCTTGAAAAAAATTAGGTAACTGGCAAGGTGAACCATGTGCCTTGATTTTCTTGGAAATTAGAGGAAAGGTTTGGTTTTGGAAGCTGAAAACACAGTTGTACTTCACTGCTGTTTGGTGTGAGTGAACTGAGGACTTCCAGTCACATTTCCAATGTATAAGAATTGCCAGTTTCCTAGATTACTGCTGAAAGACAAAACCTTGCTGTGTCAGGCTTTAAGTGCATCCTGTTTACAGAGAATTGCCTGCAGTGGATTTTAAGTACTTATTTTAGTGATAACTTTAAATAACTTTATAAAAATGAAACCAAAAAAGCACAAGAATTTTAGAAATAAATAAAGCAATGCTGTTCCTAGCTCTGGCAAAACACAGAGCTTCTGCTTCCTTTTTTCTTTCCCACTTGCTTTAACTAGACCACAGGAATTTAAGGGAATATCCTAGTTATTGGGGGAAAAAAATCCCATATTACTAAAAAAAAATACCCATGTTCAAAGTGACCAAATAGGATAAAATACAGAAATTTGCTGAAGTAAATTTGGGGATGTCACAGTTGAACTGTGACAATCTGCAACAGCAGATTGTGAGCAAGCCTTTAGCACCCTGCCAAAAACCAAGTTTTTATTCCAATGACATTTTTTAAGTCTTGAGAAACTGGCAGTTGTTTGGGGCTTGGCTTTGAACTGCAACTTTGATCTGGCTTCCTGGGATTGAAGAAGGAACACACCACGGAGGAGCTGGGGCTGCATCTTAAATTCAGGCTTGGCTTAAAAGAACTTCTCAAAATAAATGTGTTGGGTGTACCCTGAAGCTCACAAAAACTTCATCATCATGTCATTTGCCTTGATAAGAAGCTCAGAGCACTGCACATAAAAATAAAATAAAATAAGCAAAACACCTCTGCCTTCTGATCTTGCTCCAGAAAACAAGTGGCTCTTGAAGAATCCAGCAGGTCTGTTGGTTCCAGACTTGCTGCTAAACTGCTTTTCAGGTCAAAGTCAATGTGTTTTCAGGTTTGTGTTCTGTTATAAAAATGACTTTAGTATGATTTGTCTCTTCAGTCTGGTTTTTATGCTTTTCTGAGTTAGGATATTTGCTCTTCAGTCTGCTGAAGTCTTCAGTTCAGACAGAGTTGCATGAAGGTTTCTCCTCTTCTTGCCTCTTTTTCCTGCAGTTCACCTCTCTCTCAGACCAAAACTGGTTCTTATTGTCCAATCTGTGACCTGGGGCTATTCTGTCATTGATTTTCCTTGCTCAGTGTTGCTTAGCTGGTAATACAGTAACTTATTTTAATTTTTTTCTCCTCAGTGGCACATTTTCATGGCACGTCAGTTGGTATGCTCAAAATGACTTCTATCTTCCAAATCTAGATGTGGAAAGACTTCACTGAAAGCTGAAAATAAACTCTATAATTATGCCTTCATATGTCATGATTCAAAACCTTGCTTTGCAGTTTGATTTTTTTTTTTTCAATTTCCATTGGCTTGAGGACATCCCTGCCATGATGGGATTTCCAAAATCCCAAAGCACCTCCCAAAAAGAGGTGCTTGAGCTCCTGGAGGCTGTAGGTGATATTTTAGTGCTTTACATGCTGCATCTTCTCTTTCCTACCAATCAAATTAGGGCATGCTTAATCCAATTTGATTTTAAATGGTTTCTTTCAGTACAAAGATGAAGAAGCTGCAGAGGAATTCAAGATTTCCAGCTTTGTGGACATGGTCCGGGATTGCAGCCGCATCGGGATCCCCTACAGCTGCCAAGGTAGGGTGGGTTATGCTCAGACTTGTTGGATTTTGGGTTTATTTTTTTTTATTTATTTGTTTTTGTTAAGGTTGGGATTGAAGGTATTTGAGATGGTATTTCAAGTTCAGACTTCAATTTTTCAAAGATTTTATTTTACAGTTTCATAAGTAGTGAATTCTGCAGTATTTTACTAACAAGGCATAAAATTGCTATCTTTCTTTACAAGTTCTTTTAAGGTTAAACTAGCTAATTAAGAAATGATATTTAAAATATTTTTTAACTCAATAACTAATATTTTGTGTCCTGTAATGTGGACTTTTTTTGTCTAATTATAAAATATGACTTAAAATCATGAAGAAGGGAGGAAGAACAACTAGCCACTACTTTGAAACTTCTATCTTACTTTTATATATATATTATGATATTTTAAAACTTTTAAGTTTTCTACTTTGTGATATTGCACACTCTTATTCAAATTACACACTTGTAATCATTGTGCTGTCAATCAATTTTGGAAGCCTTCTCTACAGCCTTGGGTTAAATATTGTATTCTCTTGTGGGTCTGTGCTTTTCAACACAGAAAGTTTAAAATTCTCAGTATCTAGAGCTCCAACACAGAGTGGAAGTATTTTTGCCACCTGCAGCTTCAGGGAATGAAGATTTCCTTGCCTTGGGAGAGAAATAAGGATTAGTGAGTCATTAGTTTCCTTTTAGCATCTTTTCCCTTAAGACTTGAATTTCTCTCTGAGAACTGGAAGCCCTCAGAGCTCATCTGAGGAGCGAATGCCCCCAGCGTGAGGCAGAGAAATGATTTGCATTCAGAGCAGTGTCTTGAGCTGCTACAGAAGTTCTCTGTTTCCATGGGAGCTCCAGATAAATCCTTCTTTATGGATGGGGAGAATAAACATTTCTTTATGCAAGTTCCCTTTTTTAGAACTGAAAAAAAAAAACTGCCCTGCATGGCTTCCTGTTGGGATCTGGAGCCAGCCTTGAGCCTCAGCAGTGTAATCTTGCATTCTTTTTTTATTCCTAATTCTTTATTGCTTCCCTTAGGGAAGGCTGATATGCTCTGGCTGCCTGAAAAGTCATTAGTAGAAGTGCCAGGAGGAAGTTTTAACCTCCCTCAACTTAAAATTCTGATTGAATGGGGATGATGGAAGAAATTCCTCCCTGTGAGGGTGGCAGGCCCTGGCACAGGGTATTCCAGAGAAGCTGTGGCTGCCCCTGGATCCCTGGAATTGTCTCAAGCCAGGCTGGACAGGGCTTGGAGCAACCTGGGATAGTGGAAGGTGTCCCTGCCTATGGCAGGGGAGGAATGGGATGAACTTTAAGGTCCTTTCCCATCCAAAACATTCTGGGATTCTATAGGGTTGACAGTATTTACTTATGGCCAAGTATTTGAGGAAATGGAGAAAGCAAAGCTCTCTGTTTATTATCTTGAATTTTAATTGTTAATCAACATGTAATGAAGTTTGCAAGGAGATGTGGAATACCTTGAGAAAAAGGGATAAAATTTAGGGCGTAGAGGAGCTTCTAAAATTGCCATCTGTGTGAAAAACATTTTTCGCTTCAAGATTTTCAGCTGTACAAAAATGGGATTTTTCTACAACTGAATCTGTGAATCCCAAGAACTCGGGGAGAGCTGAAATGCCAGGATTTGTGAGGGAATGTTGCTGTGCTTGCTTTGCAGGCCACCTGCAGATATTTGACATGTTCATTGTGGAGAAGTGGCCGATCGTCCAGGCCTTCGCGCTCGAGGGGATCGGGGGCGACGGCTTCTTCACCATGAAATACGAAGTTAGTGCTTCCCTTGCTCATTTCCTTTCCAAGCAGAAGTTTCTCATGAAATTATTTTGTTTGGAAAGCACTTTCTGAGATGATCTAGTCCTGACTCACTGCTCAAGTGAGCTGCTAAATTGGATGAAGTTTTTTGGGATCTTGTAAAACTGTGGCAAGATGGAAACCCTGTGGTGTTGTTGAGATTCTGTTCTGGGCAACACAGCACTTTGTTCAAATAATGGTTTATCCAGGAAATTCTCCCCAGGCCTCTGCTGTGATTTAGAACTCCTTTCCTTTCCTTTTTTCCCATTTTCGTTTTTTTCCCATTTTCCTTTTTTTCCCATTTTCCTTTTTTTTCCCCATTTTCCTTCTTCTTCCCCATTTTCCTTTTTCCCCATTTTCCTTTTTTCCCATTTTCCTTCCCATTCCGTTCCTTCTAGAGCCACCTCTACTAATAACCAATTTTTTTTTTTTAACCCTAATTTTTTAGATGGGTTCTAGATCTTCAATAGCAGAGCAGGAGGAGCTGGTTAGTGGTGAACACCTTGAGATGAGCTCAGAAAATAAGAAAAGACTATTCTTGTGTCACTGGTTTTGACAGAAGAGATGCATCTCCTCTTGCTGACATTGTGTATTCATGGGTCATCATTCCCTGCTGAATAGGGCAACAATCAGGATTTAATTACTCCAATATTTAATAATGATTTTCTGTTCCACTCTGAGCAACTTATGTCATTGATTTGCCCATTTATTAATTATGCTCTGAACAGCATTTTCAGATGACAGCTTTGCATTTTTGTGCTTGTTCAAAGCTTCTTTGATTACATTTTTTTGAATCTCTGCCACAGCAATGCAGATGTCCCATTTTTCTTATCACTCCTCCATTTTTACAGCCACAATGGGCTTTTGTCTGACTCCTGATAGCTGGAAAACCTCCAGAGAATTAATAGTTCCATTTTTCTCTAACATATCATCATCATATCTATAATTGTACATGCTTGCTCAGAAATATACTCTGAGTTCCTGTGCCTTTCTGAGCACTGGAAAAAAAGTTTAAGCTTTCTTCAGGGCTTTTTTTCAGTATTTTTGTCATTCCATCACTGGTACTGTAACACCTTGTGGTGTGAACCTGCCCAAACTTTTAAAACAGATGAGCATCTTTGAGGAGGGCAATCAGTGGCCCTTCTCCATGTCTGAAATAAGTAAATGAAAATTTCACTGGCAATTTTTAACTCAGACTTTCCCTCTGAGATTTTCCTTGTGCTGTTTGGGCCTTTAATTGCCCTTTAATTACCCCAGTTCATTTCACAAATCTCTGAAAAAGGCTCTGAAAGAAATGTTCAGACACAATGGCACAGAGAGAACCTCTCCTGTGTGATCCAGGGAGCTGATACTGTCTCCAAGCACTTCTGGAATGCTTCAAAAGGAGCAGGGAAAATTCTTGGATTCCTTTTTTAAGAGTAGTCATGTTGGCTCTGGCAGTCCAGCCAGCTCCAGCTGGAGTTCTTGCTTGCTTCCTCCTTGAAATCATGAGGGGATTTCAAATGGGAAGTGACATTCTTAACTTTTTACGTGTTTTTGTGGTTCTGTGTGCTTGATGGGGGAGGAAACCAGGCTGAAAGTGCATTTGGGATCACTGTAAATCATCTGTAAATTAATTCTTCTGCCATTATTAAAAGGGGAGTTTTTTTGGTGCATTTTTAGCTCAGACTTTCCCTCTGAGATTTTGCCTGTGCTGTGTGTTCTCTTAGATTTGAATGTAATTAAAGGATGATAATTCAGTATTTTTCCCAGTCTTTTAAAGGCAGTTCCTCTTTTACTGGATAAATCAGAGTTGCTCAAGATGCTTTAATTTAGAAAATTTACTGTATTTATAGGAATGGAATGGAAGTGAGGTCTGGGAAATCACTATTACATGAATACCTGGAATAACTGTAAAGCAGTGGGTTAAGAAAATTCCAACCAATGTTGCATTTTTAACTAAGTGGGTGATGTGGAACCCTGTAAATGCAGAATAATTCAGATATAAATGTCCCTTAAGAATATATTTTTAAATATCATTCTCCATATGCATCATCCTGCTGCTTGGAAGAAAGTATTGCAAAGTTCAACTGTCTTAGCCTAAATTTACATCAGCTTGGAGCAAGTGTTGGCTGATGCTCAGGATGACTCACCCTGGAATTGGCTCTTGGCTGTCTTAAATCAGAAAACTCTTCTTGCCCTTTTGCCTGCACCAGCTCATGCAGTTCTTTGCTATTAAATTGAAAAATTACTGTGAAATTATTTGTTTGGAGGATGCAGAGAAAGCTTTGCATAGAGTTTAGACCCTCACTGGTCAGAGTAAAAAACAGAATAAAAAAAATAACAGAGTAAAAAAAAAATTTTGTAACAGAGTAAAAAAATTTGTGAAATCAGAGTGGAAATATTTGTGAAATCAGAGTTAAGGAGCACTGTTAGAAGAGTGTTCCCCAGTGCTGTCTCAGCTTAAATCTGGATCTGTGGCCTTCTTTGTGGTGTTTCTCACATAAATGTCTTTAAAATCTCTTTTAGTTAATGGATGTCAGTGCTGACTTGTGGAAGACCTACAGCAAAATGGATCCTGTGTCCTTGGAGGATTTGCTTTTTGAGGTAATGCAAGTGAAAAGTTCTGCCTCAGCTCCTGCTTGGTGTAACCACAGAGTAAAAGTCTTGTCATTTTATTTGGTTTTAATTAAGTTCATGGGCTTAATCCACAGACTCTGCCTGCTATTGCTTGCAGGGTCTCCTCCCATTCCTTAAATCTACTACAAACTCTGCAAAACATTAAATAACTTCTCTTGGTTTCCATGAATTTATTACTTTGACTAAAAATCTTCTAAAAATTTTCCTTCATGTCATTAAACCATGTACAAAATACATGAAGTTGCTGTGGTTTTGTGTGTTAATCCTCCTTTTGCATCAAAGAGGGCTAAAAAAATCCCCTTTAACACACAATTCTTCCAGGAGAAATAAAGCATTTGTCAGATGTTCTGTGGCTCTTTTAAGTGGGGAACAGTGACACTCAGTGGCTGCCCTGATGCTTTGGGAAATACAAACAGTGGGAAGGGATTCTCACATTAATGCCATGCTCTGATCTCAGTTCTAGAGGAGAAAGCATTGTATAAATATTAGTATTAACAATTAAAATTTATATTTATAATTTACTAGTATTTATACTTTAATAGTATATATACATTTAATAATTATTGGTACATAATTACTTTCATATATTATGATTATATATAAAAACAATAGATAATATATAATAATTATATTAATAATAATATTATTATTTAGATTTTATTAGTATTTATACTTTAATAGTACATATATTTTATTATTATTGGTGTATAATAAAATTAATTAAAACAGATTAATTTTTAATATGTTTTTTAGCTTGATAGCAATTTAATATGTACAAAATTCAGCAGTAATTATCCTTTATTAATAAAAAATCCGTAGTTCACACCAATTTAGTTGTTCAATCAACTGCTGTAATGAAAATTAAAATATCAGAGAGTTTTTACAAGGCTCTCAGTCTAAATAATCACTCTTTGATATTTCACTTCCCCTCTTTGTGTGGAAAGGAGATTAATGTTTGGGACTTGTCCTACACTCTGAGCAGACCTGTTTATTATAATTTGAAGTTTTCAACCTGGAAGTTGTTGTTAAATTGACGTAAATTTTCTGAAAACCATAAACATAAACCACACACCCATAAAAAGACACCCTGAAATCCAACAGAATATCCTTATCTTCTAAAATATATTTATTTTCCTGAGATTATTGTTTCATTGGACAGTCTGTATTCCAGTGAAATGTCGCCTTTGCCTTCATTTCTCTTGCCTTGGGAAGTAATGTCAAATATTTTCCTTCTAGGATTTAATGATTTTTGAACACCAGTGGACCAACTTTTTTGCAAATTTTGACACTGAAATTCCCTTCATTCTGGAACTCTCAGAATCTCAGGCTGGGGAGGTAGGCCTGCTTCAGCAATCCTTGAGTATCCATGCAGAAGGAATAATTATTCAGCATTAATTTGTTTTTTTTTTTCCCTATTCCATCTCACTTTTCATGTTTGAGGGGTAAAAACGCATGCTTTGAATTTTTTAAAGTCACCACCCACCGTAAAAAAATCCATGGTATGAGGGCTTAGGACTGCAGGGGTAATTCAGTCAAGTGTTTGCTCACTGATAATTCAATTTATATCTGCACAGGAGATATTTGTAGGTAGATTAACTTGCATTTGTGTGGAATCTGGTATGTGCAGGGCTTAACAAGTTGAATTTGCACATCCCAAACCTCAGACATAACTGAGGGGGTAGCACAGAGCATGGGAGAAAACAGCACAGCATTTCCGGGGGTTTTCAAGCATTTTGTTGCTTTTTTGATGCATTTTGAAGCCTTTTGATGCTTTTTTTGAAGCATTTTGTTCCTTCCTCTGGGATGGTGGAAGGTGTCCCTGCCCATGGCAGGGGTTTGGAATTTAATGGGCTTTAAGATCCCTCTCAACCTAAATCATTCAATGATTTAATGATATGAATAACTTAGTGGTGTTTGGGTTTGTTTGTGGCGGTTGGAAGTATTTTCTGAGGGTTCAGGAGTTTTCTCTGAGAAGGATAATTCAGGTTTAATTAATGATAGGATATTTCACACTTCTGTTCATGTACTTCTTAATAATTTTTGTTTTCAATTCTTCACAGCCCTTCAGAAGTTATTTCAGCCACGGCATGATCTCAAGCCATATAACAGATAACAGGTAATTATTACTCATTATTATTATTACTCATTATTCCCTCTGGTGTCACTACTACCTCAATATTTTATTTCCATATTCCTGATGCCATAATGTTTAAATTTGTTTTTTTTTGGTATCACCTCAGTATATCAAATCTCATACTGAAAAAAAAAAAACCTGTGCAAAATTCTTTCCTATCCTGGAAGGATAAGCTGAATTTTCCCAGGGTTTAATGCTGTAGTTCTTACATATACCATGAAATTTTGTGCATTATGATCAGTTCCTTCCTTTTTTCCATTCCTGGAAAAGGTTGGATGGGGCTTGGAACAACCTGGGATGGTGGAAGGTGTCCCTGCCCATGGCAGGGGTTGGAATGAGATGATCTTTAAGGTTCCTTCCAACCCAAACCATCCTGTGACTCTGTGGGAGAGTTTTAACCAAAAGTTGTTGTTTAGCTGAAGGTTCTGTTGCAAAATCCATGTTCTGCTGTTGTGAGCTAATCAAGGTTTGTTTAGCTAATTCAATCTCTCTGCACATTCTCCTGTATTTGGAGTAAACCAGTGGAGTTCAATGCCCTTATTGCTGGCAGCATCCTCTGTTGTTTGCATTGCATTAAAGAAAAGAAAATCCTTGACCTCTCCAGCTGAGTCTTGGGCCCAAAGCCAGAGCTAAACCCAAAATAAACCCAAAATAATTTTGTTTGTTTCCAGCATGGTCATTTCAGGGCTTTTCAAGATGGTGAATTTTAAACTAAGCAGCTTTTCAAGGCAGTTTAAAATAAAAGAATCTTCTAAGAGTATTTGGGAGCAACCTTGAGATAAGTTCATTGTATTTGAAAGAAATTATCATTTTATAAATGCAAGGAGATTTTTTTCTTTAGAATTTGCTGGTTTCACTGTGAAGCTTTGTGCAGCTTTAGTATTTTTTTTTGTCAGAGTGAGAAATTCAGTAGTTGGTCTGTCACACTTGAAAGCTTTGATTTCATCTGTTTGTTTTAAACTTCCTGCAAATATTTTGGTGGTGATTCCCTCTCTCCTCCTCAGCCCGAGCCGTCAGCCCTTTGTCCTGTTTGGCAGCCACTCCACAAAGGAAAACTTGAACACTGGGAACTTTAATTTTCCATCTGAAGGACATCTGGTCCGAAACACTGGCCTTGGTGGAAGCACTGCCAAGCATATGGTAAGGCTTTAGAGAAGTTATCTGAAAATTTAAAGTATATATTCTCTTTCTCTTTGTATATTTTTTGTGCTTATCTTCCATGAGTTAAATATTGAATTCTTAACATAAAGCACCTTAGCAATCCATCAGTTTAAGGAACAAATGTGATTTTTCATGCTCTTTCCAAGTGAAGCTGTACTGGATTCTTAATCAGGGACTGCTGAATGAGTTAAAATAATTTATTCTCTGAAAAACTACAACTTTTGCTGTAAGTGGGTGGGAGAGAGGGAAATGCTGTTTGTGAGGGTGTGTGTACTGGCCATAAAGTGAAGACCTTCCGTGATACACTTAACTGTGACACACAGATTTTATTTTAATCACATTTATTTAGTAATTTCTTAAAAAAAACCCGAAAAGCCACTTCTTTTTTATAGAATAACACATTTGTGAATAAGCCTGGGCTATACCACCATGTATCCAAATTCCACTGTGTGCTTCATCAGCCATTGATGAAACCCTGAAAAACCTTTCATAAAAGTTCCAGGACTGTTGTGATGAAGTTGCAAAGATTAACTTGACTGCGTTTCTGAGTGAAAGCTGGGTTGTTAAACATGATTAACTTGCAAAAGCTGGGTTGTTAAACATGATTAACTTGTTTCCATTTCCAAGTAAAAGCTGGGTTGTTAAACATGTGCTGAGGTCCGTCTGCGGCGCAGGGGCCGTGCCTGGGCAGGCGACCCCAGGGAATTGGGATCCTCTGGCTGGAGGGCCTGGGTGGCTCCAGAAGGCAACTTGGCAGCGAAGGAGGAGAGAGGTAGAGTGTGGAGAGATCTCCCTGCTGCCTCCAGGGGCTCAGGGAGTGGTGTGAGCCCTGAGCAGGTGGATGTGGCTGAGCACAGGCCATGCTGGAGTGAGAGCATGAGTGAGGCCATGAGTTGATGAGTTTGTCAACATTTCATGTGCAGCTGCCTCAGGGATGGATGGACGTGGGGCTTCTGGGCACGAAGCACGTGTGCAGAGCCTGAGAAAAGAGTGTTTTTACATCTTGGTGAAATCTCATCCTCCATCTGCTGCTCTTAATACTATTTCTGTAAAAACACTTTCAATTCTGTCTTTCCCTCCCTTGTTAACAATAAGATGCCGTTTGATACCTTTGAAAATGCAAGTACTGTGTTATTCTGATGTACTTGCTCCCTCTGTTGTCCTCAGATTCTGATGCTGTTCTTAAAAAGGTGGTTTATTTACAGGTACAGGTGATACTGTTTTAATAGGGTGTCATGAAAATAGTAAATAAGACCAAGTGCCAGCGTAGTTATGGGACCCTGACACACTTTCCTCTTCATGAAAAGAGCAGTTGACATAGGAAATTGAAAACACAAGTCAGAGCTCATCTCCTTTCCAAAGTCTTTCAACCATTCAGGTCAAGTCAAAAGTGAAATAGACCTTTGAAAACGTAAGTTGCTTTTTCACAATCCAGTTCCGTCTGTGTTGTAAACTTCTGTAGTCTGTCAGTGCTTAGAAGACTTAAGGGGAACGTAGTTAATTGTTAATTATTGCACCAATTTGTTTTACTGATGTCTTTTGTATCTCATTAATACTGACTGCTAGGTAGTGCAGTGTGTATCTCCAAAGGGACCTCTGGCTTGTTCAAGGACCTATTTTTTTGGAGCCACTCACATTCCTTTCCTGGGTAAGTGCATTAAATACACCAAGGCAGTTATTACCTCTGATTCCATAAAAATGTGTAGCAATTAAAGGCTTTGCTTCCTTTATAAGTGATAGATTCTGTAGCCAGTGCATGAAATCATAGCAGATTTTGTGGGTAAAAATTGTCAGATCTGAGTGTTAAACAGAAAATCTGTCAGATCTCAGTGTGCAGATGCTTTTTAAAGTATGAAACAAATATTTAAATCCATGTTCCATATGGATTTATAAAAAAACAGTCTTCAAAGTGTAGTAATTCAAACTGAGAGTTGTCAAGTAGCTGAGGATTTTTAGAAGGATGAAGGAAATTCTTTCACTTCTATCTTTTATCCTTAGTATAATGAGTTACAGTAGCTGTATTTCCAAATAAAAACAAGCCATGTAAAATTCTTAGAAAACATTTTCTTATGTATTTTAAATGGCTGGAAGAGTCCATGGATGAAGTCAGTCCTTAGGGTTATCTTGAAATTATTATCATTATCATCATCATTATTATTATAACCCCCCATATATATATAATATATATTAAAATCTAAATACTGGTCTCAGAACAGCTGAAGAGAGAGTGATTGGAGCATTGGAATTACAGCCTGTGTTTGCCTTAGAAGTATAAAATCCTGGATAAATTCCATGGGAGATGTGCAGCAGAAATGTTCTGAAAGTGCTTAAACCAAACATAATTTTATTATTATTTTTGTTTTAATGCAGGAAATGACAATGAGATGCCCAAGCAAGCTGAGCAAGTGTAAGCTGACAATTTTTTATATTATTCCTTAACTCTTCTCTCTTTCTACCTTGTGGCAGTAGGTGAAACCTGCTTTTAGTAGCTGTTGGCATTTGCAGAGGCATTTTTATTCAAAATAACGTGCATGGGAGAGGGTTGCAAAGGCAAAATGCTTGTGGAGAGTTTCAGTGGATGCATGAGGAGTTGTTAGGAAAGGAAATATTAGTAAATTTTACTCAAATTTCAGTAAAAAAATAATCTTAACAGTCACTTGAATAATTTTTAAAGATACTTCATGTAAACCAAGGGGAAAAAGTCTCTCACACTGTAGCATCTTACACAGATAGAAGAAAAAGTAATTTTTTGACCAGTTTAATTAATAATATGTAAGATTTCTAAAGCTTATTGAAAATGCCAACAGGGACCACTCAAACTTGTGAACAAATCCACTGTGTTAAAGTTAGATCCAAGTTAATTTTTCCCAAAAGTTGAGAAGCTGCAAAGCTTTTGCACATTTTAACCTTCTCAAAATCACACTTTGTTTATCCATGTTGATGTCCACTTCCTCTGCATGTTGTAGATCCCTGTCCAGCTTGGAGAACACAGTAGATAATCTGTTTTTGTCCTGCTCTCTCTCTTGATAAACCAGACTTTTCCGTAGAGATTTTGTCCTCCTTATTAGTTGGGATCATTTTAGGAGCCTGTTTTTACTTCTGCAAAGCTGGTAGCAAGATATTAAAGATGGATCAGTGCTGTCACACTAAATACTGTTGACTCTTGGTAATTGTGAGATATAAAAATGGAATTATTGCACTGAGCAGCATATCTTCCCTTTTTTAGAGAAAACTGAACTCTTAACAGGTTTTTTTTTCTTGCATTGCTCAAACATTTTTTGTCCTCCTTGAAAAATACTTTGTACTAAATACATTTTAATAAAGAGAAGCTCTAAACAAAGCAGGAGTTGATAAAGGCAGTAATTTAAAAATAATGTATTTTTCTTGCAAGCATCCCTGTATTGGTTCAAATAACCTAATTTCAACAACAGTAGTATAATTGGCTTTTTTTTGGACAAACCTGAACTCATGATTTTCAGCTTAGTTTGCACTTGTCTCCTGCTCAATATTTTATAAAAAGTGAAATCAAAAGTATTTTATGAACACTGTTCATTCAAAATGTGGCTGTACTGATTGCCTGGAGTGCATAAACCAGGCAATTGAAGGGTAAACTGGGATAAATTTTTTGGTTTTATTTTTATTTTAAGGTAATGCTTCAAAATAAATCCTGTGCTGGTTTTTTTGGTTTCTTTTTTTTTGTTTTGTTTTGTTTTTCTCACTGCTAGCTTTAAAATGTTAAAATGGGAAGGAGAATAAGACAAAGAACATCTCGCTGAGATGTTTTCTTGCAAATATATATGTGAATTTGAGAGAAAATAGGAATGGTTACAAAGTCTGGAAGAATTGCAATATAAAGGAATTACATTGCTTTACTGGGTGCAGTGAAAACATACTAAGTGCATATGAAAGCACAGGAAATTACAATCCAGAAACATGAAAAAATAGTGAGAAAGCTCAATTTAAAAATCACTTGCTGCTGTTGGGGATGATGAAAGACAAGCTTTGGTGCATTTTGAGGTTCCTCCATATTTGGGGTCTTCAGATGCTTTTTTCCCATCCTTCAAGAATGCTTTGCATTTGGCTTAAATGCTGTATCCTTCTCTTTCCTCCCCCCTCTTCCCTCCCTCAATATTGGCAGTGGAGTAATGAGAAAACTTAAAAATTTAGGGACTGACTTTTGTTGGTCTGCTCATATTTTTGTTGTAATTTAGGAGGAAAACAGAGGCTGATGTTCCTTGGCTGGGCACACGTGGGTTTTTTTTCCCAGTGGTTCTGCAGAGCTGTAAATGTGTCAATAACTGGAAATTATTTTGTTTATTTCTGTACAATTCTTTCAGTTCCCTTTTAAGAAGGGAATCAGACTAAGCTGGGATGGAGATTTCATGAAATTGTGGAATGGTTTGGGTTGGAAGAGATCTTTAAAGATCATCTCGTTCCAATATTCTGCCAGGAGAAGGGGGGGATAGCAGGGACACCTTCCACTATCCCAGGTGGCTCCAAGCCCTGTCCAGCCTGGCCTTGGGCACTGCCAGGGATCCAGAGGCAGCCACAGCTTCTCTGGAAATTCCATTCCAATTCCTCCCCACCCTCCCAGGGAGCAATTCCGTCCCATAATCCCATTTATCCCTCCCTCCTGTCAATATGAAACCATTCCCTCTGTCACGCCAGGCCCTGCATTTAGGATGTGATTCTTAAACCCAACTGCAGCAAAAGGCAACAGTAAAACAGATTTTTTATTCCTGACTACCAAAAGCACCAGATACATTTATATCAAGAATTATTTCCCTAAAATATCCTGTCATTTGAGCAATTTCCTCGCTCTAATTTTATTTTCTTAAACAGAAAGCTTAACTATGAAACTATTTCTCCACTTTTTCCAACAAAGACCCCCTCCTTATTATTAAGGGAGTTGTGCAATGAGAGGAAAAACTGCTCCTTTAAAAAGAGGAGGAAGAAAACTCTGCCTGTCCAGTAAATGTTGTGTTTGTATTTCTCTTCAGTACGCTGTTGTCGCAAATATATTCTGCTGTTGTAGAGGCTGTGCTTGCTGGCATTGAGTGCTATGCTAAAACTTCCACTGAATCCAAGGTAAATGAAGTTGCTAAATGAAATTTAATTGTTCTCTCTCTGTAATTGTTGACTTGGATTGCTTGCAGTATGAGATTTACGTGCAAACCAAAAAGAAAACCAAACGAATTCCCGTGTTTTGCCCAATGGAATAACAGAAAGGTCATGGCCTCCAACCAGGCTCTGAATCCTGTTAAAAAAAACATAAAATAAAAGAGAGATTTCAGAGTGTGTCTAATTTTACCCATCTTCAGGTGGTTTTCCATCTTCTCATGAATTTTCCTGACCTCATAGTAAGGAAAATGAGATCTGTGAAAGAGCAAATTTTAGCCTGGTGCATCAGTGTGTTACTGTTTAGTGTCTCTTGTTGGTCTTAGGGGTGCTCCTGGAGCTGCTGGGATTTGGAAGGATGGGAAAGGATGTTTTGTTCTTTTATTTCCTTTTTTCAGGCAAAGGAGGTGGCAGAGCAGGTGCTCCTGTCTGTGTTAGACACCCTTGGCTTGGCACAGCTGAAATCTGCTTTACGGTGTGTATTTCCAGAGTTACTCATTGCTCATTTGGCTTCTTTGGGGGGAAAACATCAATAATAAACTGAAAAATACTAGTTTTAAGTGGAGCTTGCCTGACTGCCAGATTTCAAGACTTCATAATGCATTCAGCCTTTAAAAATCATTATAGATATTCAATTTTCCAGTTCTCTTAATCACTTCTTTTGCTTTAAGTCTATTGTTGTTTATTTTTTCCATCTGAAAAGATAAACCACACATTTCATCTGTGCGATTTCTATTCTACAGCTCCAAAATCGCTTTTCAAATTCAGGCTGTGAACAACCATGGCAGGTTTGTATCACTATCTTACAACTTCTTGTTATTAATTGCTGCTTTTCATACTCTTAATAAATAAATTTTTCTCCTCTTGGAACTCATACAAAAACCCTTGTGTTTGATTATTTCATACAAGATGTGCTAAATGCTTTTGTGTATGAGGTAGTTCAGTGATTTCATATCTGTAATTCTGTGGAATCTTAAAAACATTAAAAGGAATAAAAAGCAGTTGGGAAGACTAATTTTTATTAACTATTAATGAGTAGAACCAGCATGAGCTCATTAAGAGTTTCCTTTTAAAAATGCTTTTAACTTAGTTGATATCACAAACATGTGTTTATTTAATCTCCACACTAATTGACTGAAATGACCTGCACAAATAAGTGTTTATTTCAAAGTAAAACAGATTTTTTTTTTTTTTTTGGCTGCTGTGGAGTCACAGAAAGATGATCTAACTTTTAAATATTTAATTATCATTGTTGTTCTAGAATTACTCCATTAGATAACGAGGACAGCCTGAGTTTGATCAAAACGGTAAGAAATAATAATATTTACTTATTTAATTAGAGAATAAAGTTCAAATGTCTATTTTTCTGGGGCATACTAAGATTTTTATGTGCATGCAAGTGTAAGGGGAGAGATGAGAAGAGATTTTAGATGCTGGACCAGGTTTAACAAGAGGTCATAATTTAGAATAAAACATTAACAGAGATTTATGATCTCAGGCTTTAACCACAATATAGAAATAGGGGTTTAGGACGTTTGAAAAATACAAATTTTGCTTTTTCAGTTGAAATATTTCAAGTTCTGCTTTCTCTTCCCTCCAACTGCTGGATGACTGCAGGCATCCATGATGGTGTTTGACATTCCAGACCTGCTGGCAGGAAGAGGATGCTTGGGATCTGTTGTGTTTTCAGAGTCCTTCCTGACATCACAAATACAGGTCAAAGAAAAAGGTGAGTGCTTTAAATTCTAAAATTCATCACCACTCTTGTCCTTCTGTTGGCTTTGCTGTGATGGGAAAGCCAAAGGAATTCCATTGGATGTTTTTGCTGTTACTCTGATGGGTTTGGAACACTAAGAGCAAAGGAAGAAACCATAGAAAGATCAGAATAAATCAGGATTTCTTTGGAATTCTGTAGTAGCTCTGTGTATGAGAGGACTGAGAGTTACTCTGCTGTGAAAGCTTCATTTAAACGCTCAGAAATTCTTAAAATAATAAGATTTTAATATTTACTAAAGAAATTTTAAATCTTAAAAGTCATGTACTGGGCATTTTGAAGTATATAGGTGATTTTAGTTTAGTGGCCATGATGATATTAGGTCGAAGGATGAATTTGGTGATTTTGGAGGTCTTTTCCAACCTTAATAATTCCCTGATTCCACTGCTTTGCTTCCCGTGGCTTCCCTGCAGATGGCAGCATCCATCCAGACTCCAGGCACGTTATCCTGACCGCAGCTATCCCGAGATTCGCTTCCTGGCTGGTGAGTGAGAGCACAGCCTTGTCGGAACTCAAAATGTCCCTCAGACATTTTTGGATGTTCCAGGTCCAGGTCAGAAGCATTTGAGACCCTGGCAGGCAGCTGGAAACAGCTGTGATTTTGGATTTGAACCATGGAATGAGTTACCAACCTTGCAGGAAGAACAAGAAGTCACAAAAGTTTAGATATTATAGTAGAAGTAGTCACAAAGTAGAGAGAAGAATTTTTGAGTGCTGTACAGGGGGGGTTTGGTTTTGTACATGGGGGTCAGAAGTTTTAAGATGGAGGGGTTTGGGCCTGCCCTGTCCTCCCTCTTCCTTCTTCCTTACCTCCATGTTCTTGGTGATGTTGGCACTCACAGATTGGTTTAGAGTAGAAAGACACCATTTAATATAGGTAATAGGCATTGGGGAAAAACTGTACCCATGTAACACGTAATGTATCATATAAAAGATAGAAAAGCACCATTTAATATAGGTAATAGGCATTGGGGAAAAACTGTACCCATGTAACACGTAATGTACCATATAAAAGACAGCAGCAGCCCTGGGCAGAGGGGGAGAGAAGAAGCAGTCGGGAGTCAGAGAGGATGTCAGGGTGTGTGTGTGCCTCTGCCTGAGCTGTGAGCAAACCACAGCAGCCTGAGAAGAAAATGTTTTAGATAACTTGCAATAAACAGCCTTGAGACCGGACAAGAGACTTCTGAGCCTTTCTTTGGCAGCACGGGTTGGAGGAGAGATTTTTCCACCACACAGAGCCACCCTCGACCCAGGGTGAGCTCCAGCACAGCCTCAGCTCAGCTCATCCCCAAAGCAAAACTTGTAGATCCCAGACCAAAACTTGGTCTGGAGTGGGCATATCTGAGGGTAAATCTGGAACTGGAGCATTGAAACAGAAATTTGTAATATTAACATACCCTGATTTTTTTAGATTTGGGTAAGTGAAAAACGAAGTGGGAACAAGTTGATGGTTCCATGCATAGCAGGAGTTTTAAATTATTTCATTTTCACCTTGTCAGGTTTTTATCTTTTCAAAGGTCTGGTTGTTTTTGAGGTGCACGGTGTTCAAAAGTCACAGTGTGACTTTGGAAAATTTTGTTTATTATGGGCATTTTAGATCAGCCCATAAGAAAGCAAAGTCTGATTCAAGACTTCTGATGCACTACACTGTGTGAGAGATAGAATACCAGAGAATATGACAATGCATGCTTGAACAGTAATAAAAAATAAAACTGCATGCTTTCTATCTATATAATATTTTAGTCTATAAAACAATTTAATGGGGAGAATGTAGTGCAATAAATTATTTTGGTCCCATAGTAATACAATATTAAGAGCACAAAATTGTTTTTGAAACACTCTGGGCTCTGGGTTTCTTCTGTCTGTGGCACCTGAGGTTCTTGTTGGTCTCAAAACTTCTTTAATGCTTTTTACTTAGTGTTAGACTTACTTTATTTCTATAAATCACAATTCAAATGGAAGCTGTTTCTGGTTGCAGGTTGAAGACAGTGATGTGAAACTCTCTGAAAAGGCACAGCAAGTATTGAAGGTAAAATTAAATATTTTTGTTAAACTAAAGAAGTTACACATTGATGAACCAGTATTTGAAAAGCTTGAGCTACTACCAGACTCTCTTTTTATTATGTGTGTTACTTCTCTTCTACAAGACTTCCCTGTTCTGCCCTTTTACAAACTTTGTAAAAGTTTGAGGGTTTCTTTATTTCAAAGAATCATAAAACCCAAGAGCAAAAAGAGTCCTAATAAAACTATGATTTCATGGAAGTCTCACTAAACATTACTCATGGAGCTCATGTGTTTCCAAAAGCCCCTAAAACTTGATGCAACTTTCTTTTAACTTAATTAGCATGCTAATGGCTAAAGGAAAACACTCTAAGCACTAGGAAAAAAAAAGAGTTTGGAATCTGGAAACATCTTAAATCACATGAGTTTCACATTTGTGGTGCAATTTGTGGTTCCCAGGAATGTTCATTATAAATAGATTTATTTTCATGTAATATACTTTTAGCTCAGTAGATTGACAAACTAAAAACAAAAAGCTCAGCCTTGTGGTTGTGACAATAACTTGTAACTTCATAGCTGCTGGCAAAACCAAAATGGGGAGAAGGCTTTTAAAAATTATCCTCTTGCCGAAGGCTTTTAAAAATTATCCTCTTGCCTTGCTCTCTTTCGCTGGTCCTTCTGTATCCGTGCAGAAAAAAATAACCAAAAACAAAACTCTTTTAAAGTTCTTGACTGATGCTGTTTGAAAATAAAATATTTTCTCTTGGAGCAAAAGCAGGAGAAAATGTTCCTGCCTGGATTGGTCCTTGATCCAGTCTGTGATGTTGCTGTTTGTTTTTTCCTGTTTAGGAAGACAAATCTTTCCTGGGCACTTTACTCACTGAGGGTGATGGAGTTTATATCTGTTCCAGCAATCCACAGGCCATGCCTGCAGAAGGTGAGATGTAGTTGTGGTTTTATTTTTTGGGTTTTTTTTTAGCTTGTTTTTTCTTATTTTGGTGGCTTTTGCTTTTTAAACATGAGAGAGAGTGTGTGGGATTCATACTGTGGTGAGCCAAACTGTGCCATCATCTTAAACTTTCAATTTGCCTTTCCTAGTCTCTTGTGTTTAATTCCATGTCTGGTTCTTTTGTCTCCAACCTCTGCCTGAAAGTCCTGGAGGAGAAGGAAAATATTCCTTTCAAAGCCTCCTCCTGGAGCTGACATGTTCCTGGTTTCTGCCACTGTCATTTTCTCTCAGGACTTCAGAGTTTGTCAGCTCTGCTGCTCGCTGTGGTACAGAAAAATGCTTGATTTTGGTCCTTCTCAGATCCAATCCAGTTACAGCTTTCTGACACAAGATCCCTGGCAGCAGTCTTGGATTATTCCTCTTTTTTTGGTGCTTTTTCCTTCAAGACCTTAAACAACATGAATAATCCAAGAATAAGTCTGAAAACAATTTGATAGGACTGCTAGATTTCCCTCCCTCCTTGTGCCTTGAATTAATAGATACTTTTAAAGGCACAATACTTTTATATTCTATATATATATTTTTTATACAGAGTAGGTGTTGCTGTCACAATGCTGATGTGCAGCAGGAGGTGGTGAATATCTGACATTAAGTGGTTGGTGCTGACAGTCTTTAGAGGAGAACCTTCAGCTTTATTGTCTTTGCCCTGGAGTGTAGAGGATAAATAATGATGTGCAAGGCAATTAAACAGCAACCCTCACATAAGGGCAGCTGCTTTTGCTCTAATTGATCAGATTTCAAAGAGAAGAGGTTAATGCAGAGTGTGATGTTCAGCTATTTTGCAATGCAGTGCTGTGGGCACTTGTTCACTCAGTAAATAACTGGAGAATGCTGGATTTTTTTTTTTTTTTTTTTTTTTGCTTTGTTAAAACTGGCTCTGTGTGACCCAAAGGAAAAATTTACTTTTTTCTATGTTTTTATTTTTTCTTGAGATTTGTGCAGTTAAGTGTTTTACTGAATCTTGAGTTACAAGTAGGTGCTGTGAAGACCATTATGAAACACTGCAATGAGTGTGAGATTTTTTTTTAGGTGTCACATGGCAGTGAAGCTGATTTCGTTCCCCAGTTTGTTGTGCTCAAATTTGGGCTCTGCTGATGTTGCAGCCCTGTAAGGTGCAAAAGGTGCATAAAATTCATGGAATACTTTGGGATGGAAAGGACTTTAAGGAACATTTAGATCCAACCCCTTGCCATGGGCAGGGACACCTTCCACTAACCCAGGTTGCTCAAAAAAATTTAATTAATAAGTTAAATTTTAATTTAAAAGGTTAATTTAAAGTTATTTCTTTTAAGCTTAATTTAAACTTAGTGTTCTTATTTTCCACTTATGTTTTTACACTTCAGTTTATTACAATATTTAAATTTTCAATTGTTTTGGATGCAATCTTTACTTAAGTTCTTGTATTGTCAGTTTTGTATTTCTCGAACTTTGAAATTTGACAGGATGGAATTTTTTTTTTTTTTGCTTTTTAATTAAAAAATGTGCCTCAGAATATTTATGATAAGTGGTTCTGTGGGGTCAGATGAACTCAGATGCACTTGTAGTCATGATTCCTGCCCCTGGTAACGAGATCCAGTAAAGACTGAATGGTTGTAAATATTATCCCAGATAAAAGAAATGCTTTTATTTAATAAAAATAAAATAAATTTCACTAAATATTAACCCAGATCAAATTTACTGCTTGTTAAATACAACAAAATCTTGCAGGAACATAGATTTCTTCCTCAGGAAGAAGAGACAGTCTTGAGAAGCTGAAATGTTGATTTATATTAATACAAGCCTTTCCCCTTCAAATTCTAGGCAAATTGTATTTCTTTTCTGATGGAATTCTGTTCTGTGATCCCCATCATGGCAGCATTTCCATTTCCAAGAACCACATGAGTTCCATTTCTCTCTATGATGGGGTGAGTGTTTTGTCTTTTCTTTCTGTCATAAAGTTTTCATCAATTTAAAAAATTTTTTTAGCAATGATTCTGTTGGGTCCTGGTACAAAGTTTAGATTTCAGTTTCACTTTTAAGTGTCTGTACAGCTGTAATAACTGATGCAAGTCACTGCAGTTTTGGTGCTGATTAACTGAAATTAGTGAGTAAGGAGAAGAGAATTTTGTATTGGAATTAGCAATGTGCTGTTAACAGTGTGAAAACTGCTTTTTGTTAAAAGAAAAATTACAGAACACAACATTCATCAAACATCTCACAGTGTGAAGGGATAGATAGAGAAGAGTTCAAGGTGTAGTGAAGTCATAGGGTGTTTGGGAGGGTGAAATGCTGCCTTTTATTAAAAATATATTTCAGTCTCTCACTTGGCCACCAGAGCAGTGTTCAGGCTCAGTGGGAATTGAGAGGTTAATGATGGCAGCTCAGCTCTGTCCATCTTGAGGCAGAAACACGTCTTCAGGCTGGAAAAAAGATTATTTGTGTTGGTTACTGTTTCCTAAACACTGGGGAAAAAAAAAATCAGTTTCCTTTAGTTTCCCTTTTGTTCAGGTACAGTATTCCCTATTTATTCAGTGGCCTCCTGCAGCATTGTGCTGAGTGATTTCATCCCACAATACAGGAAAGCAGTAAAATACAATAAAAATGTGATTCAATTGAGATGAAAACACAGCAGCTCAGAGAGTCTTACCTTAGCTGCCTTTTCTTGGACATCGGATTGATTGCCCCTCGTTTAAGGAGCTATTTTAACACTGACCTTCCTTTGATTGTTTGAGTCAAGACACTCACTTTCATAAAAGTTGCTATTTCTGGGACCTGGCCATCATTCTTGAAATGGTGCCAGATTTTTGTGTGAAGCTAAGCCTTGACAGGGAGTCTATTATTGTTCTACTGACTTGGCAGAATATGAGGGTGGAGGGTTTTGAAACTGTTAAGAAGTGACAGGAGAAGCAAGGGAATTGTTGTTTGCTCTTTCCAAAAGTTCTTGCAGCAACATGGATGGAAAAGAAAAAGGAGAATTTAATGTTCTGATTAAAATGAAAGATACCAAATCTTGAAGTGATACAAAATACAGGTTTTTTAGCAAGTTTAGCATGATGCCTGTGATACAGTCTTCTTTTTAACTTGAAAATATCTGTGCTCCTGCTCTTGCACGTGCTGCAGATTCCTGTGCTGTGAGGAACTGAGCACTGAACTCCTGAAATCCCTGGGACCCCTGCATGGAGCTCAGGAGAGATTCTGGCCATTCATCAAGTGAACAAATATTACCAAGCAATATTTAGATTTCACAATGACATTAACATCTTGTAAAACTTGGAGCTGGCTCCTTTCAACCTCGTGTCCATGGGGATTATTGCTGCTGCTGCTGCTGCTTTTCAGCTTTTTTCAATTTGTGGAGCCCAAAATGTTTTCCAGGAGCAGATTTTGTTGGACACTTCTCGTGCTGGCAGCAGCATGGATGAGTTGGCCTTGGACTCACTTCTCAGGAAATCTCTTAAGTCATCCTGCAGAATCCAGCATCTGTGGATTCTCTTCCAAAAGCCATTTTCTCTTAAAAGAAATTGTTCTCTTTGAGGAGAATATTTTTGTGTGTTCTTCAGTAACCTTAGTGATCTTGAGAGTATTATTTTTATGATTAATCCCTCAGTCAGCAAAGCAGAGAGATTCTGTTTGCAAATGTCTCTGAGCTGATACCAATTCTTACGTAACAGTTCCCCAACTTGAGCTTTTTCTTCTCAACAAAGAGTACAGTGAGTTCTTTGCCCATTTCTATTGCAAGTGAAGGGGATGCCACTAAAATTCTTTGAATTCCCATTTCCCAGAAATGTTTCATGCTTCTCAATTGCTCTGATTTTCTAAAACTTTGATGTGAAAAGGCTTATAAGTGAGAAGGGCTTGAATATAAAACACTTCAGCATCCTGCAGATTTGAATATAAAATCCTGTCCTGGATTCCACAGTCATGGAATGGTTTGGGTTGGAAGGGACTTTAAAAACCATCTTGTCCCACCCCCTGCCTTGGGCAGGGACATCTTCCACTTTCCCAGGTTGCTCCAAGCCCCGTCCAACCTGGCCTTGAGCACTTGCAGAGATGGGATATCTCCTACCACCACTCTGGGGAAAAAAAACTCCAAAACAAACTAAAAAATAATCCAAGAAAAATCCAATCAGTGCTTTTTTCAGAGCAAAAATGGAACTTGAGTTCAGTGCTTCTGAGGGACACACAACCTGAGGGCTTCAGCCTCCCTTGTCACCTCTTTAGGTGGCATTTAAATAATTTTTCATCTGGTGTCTGTGTTGGAGATGTGGGTGTAGACAAAGAGTTTGTTGTTTGAAGCAGTAGCACAGGAAGGGTCTAGATTTTGGTATAGACAAGAGAAGATACTAAAATTTAAGCTTTGTTTTCGGGACAAAAGTTTAGTGCTTCGCTCAAACTCAGATCCTTTGTTTTAAGCTTGTAGTATCTCCACTAGCTGCAGAGTGGAATCTGAGGGGTGCTTCATCCCTCCTGCTCCATCCCTGTGCAATGCAAAGTAGAAAATGTTAATTTTAACTTGTCCTGTTTCTTCCTTTTCCAGGATTCCAACAGCATTGTTGCTGCTCTCTTTATAGACTTCAAAAGTTCCCTGCTTCCTCATCTCCCCATTGAATTCCACACCCAGAACAACTTTCTGATGATTGCACTTTTCCCCAAAAGAAAGATTTATAAAGCTTTTTATTCACAGGTAAAGTGAAAAAAAGTTTGGTTGGGATGGGGGAGAAACCACATAATTGCTCTGTGTGTGTTTAAGATGTGTGAGAAACTCAAATTTCTGCATGAATTTCCAGTGATGGTGCTGCTCGTTGTGTTTAATGCTCCCATGTGCTTTAAGTTTGCCTTCTGAAGGCAGCCAGGGCTTTAAAATCTCTTTTTCTGAGCTGCATTTCAGTGTAGCTCTGGTGTCTAATTTGCTGCAGGGATTGTATGGAGTGGCAGAGGTTCCATTGTGTGTTTTTGTGGTCAGACACATTTGGATCGTGATCCTTGGGGAAGTGGAGTTAAAGTTTTTAAGTCTCCCATATGGCATTGCATTATTCCCTGAGTAGATTGGCTTCGTGCATTGTGCTGCAGAGGCTTTTAATAAACCCAACTTTATAACAATAGTGCTTTTGAGGAAATGAGCCTGGAGATTTTAGGACTTCACAAGGGTTTTAGGATGTGCTCATCACACTGGGTTGGAAAAGACCACCTAGCTCAGTGAGTAGTCCCCACTGGTCGTATTAATGGTCCCATAAAATGTCTCCTCCTTTTATCTTAAGTGTTTAAATTCTTCCCACTGTTCCACTCCGTGAATGGTTGGAAATCTGTTGTTTGTTTGTATTTGAATTTTCAGCCCATTTTATTAATTTTACTTCTATATCTATTTTTCTTTTCTCTACGAGAACACATCCTCGAGATACTCACAAATCTCAGACCTATTCTTTCTGCTTTATTTGACCTAATAAAACAAAACCAGATTCTTTTCAATCTATGCCTATAAAAAGTTCTTTTTTCTTCTGATAGTTGTAATGGTTTTCTTTTGATCTGGTTTTTGGCTGTAGATAATCCAAACTGTTTGTAATATCTGAGAGGAGGGTATTTGTTTCCTCTGTTGCTTTTTCTCAGGGCTATTTATTCCTGTTCTCCTTTGAGTTAATTTTTTTTTTTTTTTTTTTTTTTCTGAACAGTTCCACACTGAGGTTCAGTTTGGGCAGTTTAAGTTTCTCATTTGGCATCACATCAGTTGCTTTGCTCAAGCAGATAAAACAAATCTTTTTTTTTCAGGGTGTTCTCTCATGAACAAAACTCTTCATCAAATTGATTGTACCTGATTGTGTAAACCATGGAAATATATTGTTGTGTTTTGTCAGTATTTACCTTCAGGTGCTTATTGATTTCCTTCAAAATTCTTCTAAAAGTCTGTGTGCCTCACAGGTTACAAAGATTCACTAAAATTTAGGTGCTGCTTCTACTCTTCTCAATTATCTGGCTTGATACCTCACTCACTGGAGCTATACTTTGATTATTCCAAGCCTCCTGGAAATAGGGGATTGCAACTGCCCTGTTTACCCAAATCTGGGTTTCTTAAAAACTGAGATGCTGAGCCCACAGAGGTGAAATCTGCTGTGCAGGATGAGGCGATGCCTTTTCCCATCCTCACTCTAAAGGGTACAGGAGGAAAATTTGTTTAGGCTTTGAGATGTGTTGATTTCTCTCTTTTTTTTTTTTTTTTTCAATGCCATAGCAGCTCTTTTTTAAACTTTCCTTAAGTTATACAAAAGGACCTGAACAGGTCTCTATTTCTTCTGGACCTGACATATTTCTATATTTCTAACACTTGTTAGCCTGACCTATCACTTTATCCCCAACCTTTTGACTCTTACAAATTTCCCTTGACCATTCATTTTTTCCATTCCTCTCAGGCATTTCTTTGAGTCCCTTCTGTGTGTTTTGAAGTGGTTGTTTCTTTAGTTGTGTGGATCCTTCTGCATGAGCAATATTGCCTTTGTTAATATCAAAAATATATTTTATTTTGATGGTTTTTATCTCCCACCCTTGTGTTTGGGATGCTGAGTTTTTAATGGAAAGCAGTCGTGTCCCCCCCAGTTGTTTTGTCTAGCAGACAGTTATTGTGAAAAATGACAATGGCTGTTGCCTTTACTTCAGAAAAGAAGGGAAATTCCAAACACTGACAGGACTTTGTGATTCATCTGAATCTGATTTCTAGGTTCCCAGTGCCATTCAGATTAATGTGTCTTGGCTGGAGCAATTGGATATGAGCCAAAACATTCCCTAGAGAAATGAAGGGTTTCCTTTGCTTTTGGGAGGGAACAGAGTTTTTCTTCAATTTCAAGTAATGATTGCTGCAATCTCACCTCATGAAAATTACAGCAGTGCTTCAAAGAGACATGAATTAATTCAGTTCATGCTGTAGAGAACTTGGGCTATAAACACATTTTTATCAGGGAAAATGAGGCAGTTTCAGTACATTCCTAAAGCACTTCCAATCTAACCAAAGAAAAAAATTGCAAAATCTGATCAGTGGATTTGAGTTCTAAAATTGGAAGGGACCTCAAGGCACATCTCATTTCCAACCCCCTGCCATGGCAGGGAACCTTCCACTCTTCCAGATTTCTCCAAGCCCCATCCAACACTTGGATACTTCCAGGGAAGGGGCAGCCACAGCTTCTCTTGCAGCAAAACCTTTATTGTGCAATATTTAATGGCTTGTGAAAATGTGTCTGTTTTTTTAGGTGAGCAAAACCAATTCCTAAACAAATTCACAGCAAATTTGGGAAAATAATGGCACTCATACATACATCTGGTTCATTCCAGGTTTTCTCTTCATGGCAAAACCAGACAAACTCAGGATTATCTTTAAGGGTTGTCCCAGAAGAATTCCTGTCTGAGGAACAAAAGAGGCTGTAAGTTCCTGCCAGTGCAGTGCAGTTACACAGAAGCTGCAATCAGAAAAATGTTATTATTTATTATTTTTGATGATAATTAATTGTTTTAATAATTAAAAAAGGGTGCATTCTTAGTGCAACACTCAGTTGTTTTTTTTTTTTTTCTGTACCATTTAATATGAGCCCTTGTGGTTTAGAGAAGAGAAATTTTTCAGTTTCTCCTTTAAGTAATTCATCCATTTCCTTCTTTTAGGCATTCCAGTGTCCAGAAGCTCTTCAATGCCTTCTCTTTTGCTTCTGGGGAAAGATGCAGGGAGCTGAAACTGTCTGCTGCTATTCCAGGACTGGAGAGGTGAGAAATTACTTTTGTGTTCAAGGGATTCATTCTTTCAGAAATGAGACAAAAATGTTTTGGTAGATGTGATAGCCATTTAAAAATGTTTCTTAAATAATTCTCTTTACACTAGGATGTTTTTATTCTGAGATTAATTATTTCCTCTCTAGCTTGACCTTTTCATACTCTTATTTTAGTAATTTCCCAGCTATTTATATGGATGAAATCTTTTGCTGTCAATTGTAAAGAAGTAAACCTTTTATTTTTGGAAGGTTTGTGCAGCACTTCACAGTCAGCAGCGTCAGTACCAAGCCAGTGATGAGAGCACATCTTCCTGTCCTTCTCCAACAGTCAGAAACCATTTCTGACAGCAAAGCAGAAGGTGATAAGGTAAGGAAACAATCCACAATAATTTCTCACCCTCACATCGAATATTTTGAATATTCTGTCATTAGTTCTCTTGTAGTGTAATAAAATACTAACCATGTTCAGCCATGCTCTTTCTCCTCCACTACCACCAGTTTTTTGTCTTTTTGTTTTTCTGGTTATGTGCTTAGTTATTTTCCATTTAAACAGTCTTTTGGAAGTGCAAATGGCCTTTCAACCTGATGAAACAGAGGCAGAAAATGAGGTGTAGATCTTTAAGTGAAGTGTTTCTCTAATGTCCAGAGAGGCTTTGTCTTGTTTTTATGAATTGCTGAATAATTTAACTGAATTGTTCTCTGGAACATAAAAGTCCTTTAAATAGCATAGGGGTAGCACATGATATTTAACATTTGCTGATATTATCTGTACAACACGCCTTTCTCTATAGGGGCAATAACAATTGTCCAGTTTAAGGTGTGCTTTAAATAGCATTTTCAGAGAAAATATTTCCTTGGAGCTTCCCAGCTTTTGAAATCTGCTGAAAACAAAGCCAAAGCAGCAAGAATATAATCTTGCAATATTGCTGGGGTCTGATCCAGAGACCATTCTGAAAATTAATAAACCCTTAGGAACGTTTTTAAATCTGATTTTAAGGTTGGTTTAATTATGAATTCTTAAAAAAGAAAGAAAAATCTATATGAATCATAGAAAGCAGCTATTTTGGTGTCTGCACCAGTGTTTCTGCGATTATTTTGTGTTTAGACTTCCCTTGTCCCCTGTTCCTTGTTGCAGGTGATCATCACCATCATCACTGGGCTGCCAGGGTGCCGTTCCAGCGACCTGTGTTCTTTCCTTGTCACTTTTACCAAGGAGTATGGGAGGTTGGTGCAGCTCTGTTTACACTGATCACCAAAACACAGCTTGGCATGAAGGCAAAAAAAATTACCACTGTTTCACTTGGTGGTTTTTTAAACCTAATTTCAGACTGCCAGGGAGATTTGCCCTTATATGTATGCATTAAAGGGCATTTTCTGTTTTTTTTGACAGAAAAACAGCACAGATTTCTTTGTTGCCTATTCCATGTGGTGAAGAGCTTCCATTTATTCATTTTTAGTGATTCTAAAATGCTTTTTTTGTGTATTTTTTTCTTTTTGAGAAAAGACTGTTCTAACAGTCCTTGCCACAGCATTGTTTTTAATTTAGCCTGATTTGAGGTACATTCTGGACATCTGTTGTATGGCAATGAGATAAATCTGCTATAGGAATTTGCCACTTTGTGTGTTGATAGAACTTCTGGAAAAGAAAAAAAAATCTTGTCCTTTTAATTCTTACAGCCAAACACCTTAGCATTTAATCTTAGCCATGTTCTGCACTGTTCTTTTAACTCAATATCTTGATTTTATCAAGTTGATTCAGAACAGTTTTGTGGTTCTATTATAGGGCAAACACATCAGGTGACTTTTGAAGGCTGTGTAATAACACATCTCCTCATGTTTTCCTGCAAATGTCATTGTTACTTTCCATTTTTGCAGTGAAATGTTTTCATGCCCAGAGTCTTGAATTGGATTTGTCTAATTTTTGTTTACTGAGTCACTGCCAGTGATCAGAATTACTCATGTGATGTATACAGCTTTGAAAAAAAGCTGGTGAACATTGTTTTATTGGAAAAAAACCAACAAAAAACACCCACAAATCCCTTGGGCACCCACATAAAAAATGTACACGTGCTGGAAATGATAGAAAGCCAAATAAATTCCCCTTCCCCATGTGGAACGAGACCACCACAAGATGACGAGAGATGTGAAATCTTTGGGCTTTTCAAACTTCATTTGGGGCTGTTGCTTGAAAAGAGGAAGAAAGCAGATCTGTTCAGTGCCAGCACATGAACTGCTTTGCTCGTTGTGTGTGCTCCAGATGGATTGTTTATCGGCAGACCATGGACAGCCCGGAGTGTTTCAGTGCCTCCCACTTCCAGCGCTTCCTGGCCGGGCTCCTGGAGACCCAGCAGAACCTTGGGGTCCGTCAGCCCGCCCACCTTGGGAAGAGCAACAGGCTCCTGGTGGTGCTGCAAGGGTAAAGAATCCAAACTCTTGGAATTGTTGTGTAGAATAAGGCACTTCTTGGTTACGCAGCTTTTCTATCCCTGTTGGTTTTGTTGCTCGTGTGAAAAAGGTGTTCTCAGCCTTCCTTCCATCTTTGGGTGCACTCACAGCCCAGAACCTCCCTGTGCTGGGCTGGTCCCTCAGTGTGGGCAGCAGGGGAGGGGGGATTCTGCCCCTGTGCCCTGCAGAGATTTCTCCAGCTCTTAGGTCGCAACAGCAGAAAGGCTTGGAACTGCTGGAGAGAGTCCAGAGGAGGCCACAGAGCTGCTCCCAGGGCTGGAGCCTCTCTGCTCTGGAACCAGGCTTGGAGAGCTGGGAATGCTCACCTGAAGAAGAAAAGGCTCCAGGGAAAGCTCAGAGCCCCTTGTAGAGCCTAAAGGGGCTCCAGAATAGCTGGAGATTGATTTGGAACAAGGGATGGAGGGACAGGACACAGGGAATGGCTTCAGATTGAAAAAGGGGAGATTTGGTTGGGATATTGGGAAGGAATCCCTGGTTGTGAGGGTGGGCAGGCCCTGGCACAGGGTGCCCAGAGCAGCTGTGGCTGTCCTTGGATCCCTGGAAGTGCCCAAGGCCAGGCTGGAGCAACCTGGGGTAGTTGAAGATGTCCCTGGTTGTTGCAGGAGGCTGGACTAAGATGGCCTTTAAAGGCCCCTTCCAACCCAAACTAATCTGTGATTGTGACTCCAGAACTGCCAGCAGAGATCAAACTCGCAAAAATCTTCTGTTGCCTGATAGAGCAGGTGATAGCAGAGGAGGACTTAGTAATGTGTTTTGGATAAATGCCATTTTCCTTGAGGATAAAGGTGAAAACTGAGCCACCTACCTGTGTTTGACATTTCCATCTCCAGTGTAGCATTTGAGAACCAGGATCATCTTCTGAGTCATTAGAAGGTGACATAAACCAGTGTGAGGGAGGCACTACCCTGACCTGGCTGCAGTGACTTCCAGTTCATCCTTCTCACTGAGGATGTACAAATGGAACTCAGCATTTTTTTCATTATGGTCCATTCTGATAGTGCTAAAATTCATCATTTTTTTTCATGTTGGAGCCAGATTGTTTTTTTTTTTGTTTTTTTTTTTTTTTTTTTTTTTTTTTTTTGTGTAATTAGTATGGATGGTATTAAGTGCATTGATGGGCAAAATAACTGATACTCTGGTAGCAGCACTGGCTTCAGGAACAGATAATTGGAAGTTTTCCATTCTTTATGGATAGTTTGATGTTAGTATAGACAGCTTTAGAGAAGCTGGAGTTCTCTAAATATCCCATTCAGCTGATAACTGACAGTAGAGAAAAGTTTGTAACTGGCTGAGAAATAAATACCTGAAATTAATACTCAGGTTCACCTAAGCCTTGATGTCATACAGAGATAAAATGCAACAGTGGTTGAAGACCTGATAAAAAGTGGATGCATTAATGGGAGAAACATATTTAAATTAGAATGCTGATAGGTGAGAGAAGCTGTTATTTTATTCATTTTTAAACTCAATTTGTGCTTAATTTACTTGGCATTAGGCATAAAATGTTTCTGTTACGTTGTGCTGTTTGTGCTTTCTGCAAGCTGGACTTCCAGTTGTTCAGTGCAACGTTTACACTGTTTTTCTCTGGATTGTTAATAATTTAATTTTACTATAACTTCCAGTCAGCTTGATTTGTCTGGATTTGCCAAGTTCTGAGCTGCCTTCCATGTCTTTTGGAGTCTCTTCTGGAAATCCAGTTTTTCTCCAAACCATTGATTTCTTTCTGGGTTGGGAACTGTTCTGGTTCTCTGGACCCATTTTTTATTTTGGTTTCTTGCAGGTACACTGATGTTATTGATGTTGTGCAAGCTCTGCAGACTCACCCTGACCCAGATGTGAAATCTTCTTTCATCATTGGAGCAGTCAACACCTGCGTGGAGCCTCTGAGCTGCTACATGGAACACAGGTGTGCTCTGAAGTATTTCTACAAGTTTAAGAACAGATATGTTGATTTTTGGTATCACTTTTATATAATAATTAGTGATTTGTGATGGTTAAAAGCCACTGAACTGACTTAAATCCCATAAAACTGTTTAATACTCCATCTTGGAGGAACTTGGAAGTGCTGCTTAGTTTATCATGATGGCACTTGATTTCCACTGGGTATATAAATATATAGAATATCAATAGAAGTTCAGCTCCTAGAAGAATAAACAAAGATTATTTAAATACAAATCTCTGGGTAAGGGCTTTGAAACATTTGCACAGTCATTTGTTCTCTGAATAATTCTCCTTTTTGCAGTCTTGTAGTAAGTCAGACTGAAAATGGAGATGTGCATCTCAGTTTGATTTATCGGTTCTGCCACTACTTGTGGACATTTAAAAAGACTTTGCAGGTTTAAAATATGGAATATAAGGGAAACAATCCCTGAAATGGGGAAGAGAATGACAAAGCACGGAAGCCAAAGCATTGCAAGTGTTAAAATCTGATATCCTGGGTTACTGCAGAGCCAGGGTGGGGAGGAAATGGTCGCAGAGCCAAGTCAATGACCTTTTGAAATAGTTTGGTTTCATAGTAAATGTGTGTGCTCCAGACTTCTACAAACATGGAAATAATTTCTCAGACCTACCTGTAAAATTGTAACACCCCAATTTTTTAATTATGCCTTGCAGCTGATTTGATAAAAGTAAGTTCCAGCAGTTAGAGTTTTTGGAGTTGGTAGCACTGCTTCTGTTTGTGATCAAACTGTGCATCACAGCTTAGAGAAGAGCTGCCCAAGCAGTTTCTAAAAGTGCATTCCTGACATTTCCTGGCTGTTCTTAAACACTAACCAACGTGCTGCTTGTGCTTTGCAGTAGTCAATAAATAGACCTTACCTTGCTGCTTCTTCTTGTCTCCGTGACAAAGATACCAAACAAATATTAAAGACTACATAAAAAATGGGTGAATTGATGCTGGAGTGCTGTTTAAACTTGTTCTTTCCATAACTCTAGGAAAGACAAGTTCCATTTCTGTTTTATTTTTAACTTACTAATGAGTTCCTAGTCATGGTACTGTGTAGTGTTACAGCAGCAGCAGCCTGCAGTCCTTTAATACTGTTTGTCTCCTGAAGTGTAGAAGCAATGGAAAGAAGAGGCTCAGCCTGTGCTGTAGATTATTTATATTTTGCTTTGGAGTTTGTTCTGATAAGAATTTACCAAGCAGCCACACAGTGCCAATGGCAAACCTTGCAGTTGAGAAGCTTTGGTGATTTCACTGTGAGAATTGAACAGAGTGGATTTCATGTCTGGCTTGAAACTTGCACTCAAGAAAATCAAACCCATTTCCTGCCTCAGAGTTCATCACTGTAGAGATCCAGCTCTTCTTTGAGCATGGGATGAAGCTTTTACCCATTCTGAATTTGCAGACCAGGCCAGGGGAGAGAGAGTTGAAGGGAACAGGTAAAAATCTCTTCTTGAGGTTTTGTGTCCATGATAAACCTCCTGAAAATAATTGTCACTTGTCACAGCAGCAGAAATTGGCATTCTGTACATCCAGTCTTTCTATGGAATGTTCCCACTCTTTGTAAGGCACAATTCTTTAGGGCAAACTTTAAATTCCTATTGTCTAAATAAAAATTAAAATAATATTGAAGCTTTCTGACTCCTTGGAGTACAGAAGAAATTGCATGGTGGGAATTAGCTCTTAAATATGTTGGAGAATTAAAACCATCTACAAAATGATTTCTGAGGGAAAAGTCCTTGAAAGACATAAGCTGTGAGGATATTGCAGTTACATGGATTGAGGAAAAGAAGCATGAAAATGGTTTGGTTTGTGAGACTCTGTCAGCATCCAAGTGAATGTAAATGTTTTACTTAAATAATAATATCCATTCTTGATATGTGAACTTTTTGGTTTTTTAGGCTTCTTTTTCCCAAGTTCTTGGACCAGTGTTCACAAGGTATGTGTCACTTTTCCTGACTCTGAGCTCTACAGAACAATAACTGAGCCATGTGGCCAAATAAATACCTGTATTTATTATTTTGTGCTATTAATACACATAGCCAAAGGGTCATGATAAACTGTTGGAGGTAAGAACAGACAATCTCTGACAAACATCATGGGCAGAAAATGAAAAAATTCTGGAGCATGATCCATTTTGAAGTTCTCCTCTCTAGGATGGGTTTCCTAAGACCATGAATTAAATTGCTCACATTGAGTTGTTGTAACTGGGATTGGAATGGATTGGATTAGATTGGAGTGGAGTTCCACCCTCCTTTGGAGGAAATGGAGCTTTCTTTTCATTTCAGCTCTACTAAAAAGGGAAAAATGAGGGGTGACCTTGTTCCCCAAATGCTCCTCTTGGTGTGGCCTGGAGAGTCCTTGCAGGGCTCATCACTCACTGCAGCAAAGCAGCTCAGCTGCAGGGCTGGTCCTTACCTGTGTGTTCAGTTTTATATCCTGAAATAATCACTGGCTGCATTGGCAGGCTTGGGAATTAGAGCAGGAGTTGGCATAAATGGGATATTATCCTTCCTCACCTGCCCTTGAATCCCTGCCCCAAATGTTCAAAGCCAGGTGAGTTTATTTTGTCATCGTATTTAAATGCAGTTGTTGGAAAATCAGATTAGGATGCTGTGCTCTTCTTAAACTCTTTGATTGCTCTGCTTGGCTGCCAGAGTGGTGCCACCTCTTTTTCATGTGTGAAGAGAACCTTAAAGAATGCAGTTGTGAACAAGCTGGACAGAAATTTCTGTAGGTGCTGTTATATAAATCAGTATTTTATTTGGAGAAAAGTGTTGTGAATTTTCCAGTTCACAAATTGGAAAATTATCATTTGTACAGCCACTGGTAAAATTGAAGAGAGCAGGAGAATGTTAAGAATATGAAGAATTATTAATTACTACAGAGATGTTAAGTGTGCTAATTATTTTATGAAATAATAAATAAAAGTAATACCCAAAGCTTTGTGTTTTTTAAAGTGAATTTGTACAGACTAAATTGGGTGAGAATTGGTCATTGTTGAAGGTGAAACTGCAAAATGCCCAGGACAAGAGTAGCTGATTTTCTTGCAGTCAAAATGCTGTAAGAATTACAAATACTGGAGGTTTCTTGGGGCAGGGAATAATTTCTGCACGTTGTAAAGTTGTCATCCAGTTCTGTGATACAGAATGTGACATAGATGGCTGAGAGATCCCTTTGTGTAAAGAAATTGTTTCACAAAAATCGGGGTAATTTTTGTGTAAAAGGTTCAAGGGGAAAAGTATCCTTTGAAGTGAGATTTGGGATGTTGTGCAAGCCAATATTGTTTGTTTTGTTGTGTCACCAATTGGCCAAGACTGTGTTGTATTGGTTTTTGGATTTATTTTTTTGTTGAAGTTGGGATTGAAGGTACTTGAGATGATAGTTTGTGTTTATATTTAAATGTTTATTTTTTAAAATTTATGTTAAAATTTCATAGGCAGTGAGTTTTGTATTTCATATCTTACTAATAAGGTACAAAATGGTTAGCTATTTTTTGTTATAAGGTTTTTTAATGTTAAACTATCTAATTAAGAAATTATACTTAAATTGTTTTTACTTTTAACTTAATAATTTATTACTTGAAGTCCACAATGTGGACTTTTCTGTCTAATTACAAAATACTACTCAAACTTATGAAGAAGATGAAGAAGGACTAGCTTCTGTCCTAAAACTTTTATTTTGTTTTATATATATTACTATATTTTAAAAACCTAAACTCTTATTTTTTAAATTTGTGATATTATATGCTTTTAACTAAACTATACACTTGTAATTTTAGTGTTATTAATTAATTTTGGAGGCTTTCTTTATGGCTTCAGGTCAAGTGTAGTGTTTTCTTTGGAGTTAGAGTCTGTTAATACAGAAAGTCTAAAATTCTCAGTATCTAGAACTCAAACAGTGTTGTACTGGGCTTTGTACAGATCTGAAAACAGAACTTTGTGGGTGTAAGAAAAGCCAAGTGCAGCCATTGGCAAGCAGGAATTAATTAGACTTTGGATCTGTACTTTTTCCTTCTATCTTCCAAATGTGGGGAGTGAGTTGGGTTTGCCTTTTGCTGCCTTTCTGTGTATCACAGGGGTTCCTGGGCACGTTATCAATGTGACATTTTCCAAAATTTCTGTTTGGAGAGCCCCAAAACTGACAGAGGCAATTGGGGATTGGGGAGAACTGACAAAGCCTCGAGCAGAATGACCAACAGGAGTATCCTGTGCATAGTTCCTTAAACTTATCCAAAAATGCCTGCCACCATCTGCGTGCTGTAATTCCCTTTTGTCTCTCTTTGCTTTTTTGTTTTTTGTCTTTCTGTCCTTTCTTTCTTTTTTGCACAGAAGCTGTAAGATGATACCTTCCTAGTCTAAGGGCACCCTGGCATCCCTTGTGAAACAATTTCATATAGAACCCAAATTAAGACATCACCATTGTTAAATATTCCCATTGTAAGTTTGGGAGCAAAGAGGAGCCATTATTTTCATACAGCATATGTATTTTTAATCCATCCCTCCTGTTTCTTTCCTGCTTCCATTGAACACGCTATTCCCCAGGCTCTAAGGGTTCTTTTCTTTGGAGGAATGTATAAATAAAGATTTAAACAAAACTGGGTGGTCTTCAAAATGCATCTCTTAGAAACAGAGATGGCAGTGACAGTTTGAATAGAAAAGGTTAAATTTGTTCATTACTGAAGCTGTGGAGGCACCTTCCAATGCTCAGGAAGTTGTTTTTCTTTGGCTTGCACTCCTTGTGCATCAATCCAGGGTCGTGCACTGTGCCTGTGATCCCAACACCTCCAGGATTTATGGCTGGGTGTGAGCAGAGCCAGAGCTCTGAGCAGGCTTCTCCTGCTTCCAAAACTCTGTGGGAGCTTCCAGTCAGGAGTGACAGGGAGTGCCCTGGGCAGGCACACACGGAGCAGAGATTGATGGAGAAGGAGCAGGGGTGCTGAGGAGGAGATGAGCTGCAGAGCTCTGTGATTTGCTAGATTTGATTTCCCCTGAATCCTTTTTTTTTTTTTTTTTAACTTAGAGCTTTTCCAACTTAATCCTTGACAGTTATGGATCCTCTCTCTCCAAGGCATGGTGCTGCCAATTGTCACATGGACTCAGTGGCAGCTCTGCCACAGGGTGGTGGTGGGTGATTCCCAGAATAATTTGGGTTGGAAGGGACCTTAAAGCTCATCTCATTCCAACCCCCTTCCACCATCCCAGGCTGCTCCAAGCCCCATCCAACCTGGCCTGGAATATTCCAGGGGTAGAATTATTATCTTATTCATGTTTTTATCCTAATTTCATGATTAATATCCCAAAACTTGATATATGATTTTCAAGCCTGCATGTGGCTTAAATTTCAAAGGATGCTTGCTGTTCTCCTTCCCTTTTCCCCCTCTTCCAAGAGCAAGTGTGTATTGGAGAAGACATGGATGTTCCTGGAATTGGAGTGGAAATTTCTGTGCAAGGTTAAAAGAAAAGACAAACAGAGTGATGGAGATTTGTGCTGTTGATAAAGATTCTGGCTTGGAAGGGTCAGTGATTCAGAGAACAGTGACTGGGAGTCTGTGGTGCAGTGCAACTGCCCCAGAAATATTTGGTGCAGGAATTTGTGTGTAATGCAGCCTTTGCATGGATTCATGTGATTTAAGACTTGTGTAAAGACCAGGAATTACTGCAGACAGCAGATCAGGTGTGATCAGTTGTTACATCTTTGCTTTAAATACTTGGAGGCAGAGGAAGTGCATCCTGGCTCAGTTGTTTGTGGATATTGGAGATTTTCTGTTCTTCCTTCTACTCCACTTGTAGTCACAGGAAAGTGTCAGAGCAGGGCTGCACATCTTGAGCAAAGAAATAGCATTTATTATAAAATTACAGAATTGTTTAGGTAGGAAAAGACCTCTAAGATCATCAAATCCAGTCATCAAGCCAGCACCACTGCCCAGTTCCCCATTACCCCTTCAAGAGCCACATCTGGGTGTTCTTTGAACACTTCCAGGGATGGGGACTCCAGCACTGCCCTGGGCAGCTCTGCCAGGGCTTTACAACCCTTGCCATGAAGAAATATTTCCTAATATCTCCTCTAAACCTCCCCTGGCACAACTTGAGGCCGTTTCCTTTCCATTTCCTCTCCATCCCTCTCACATTCAGGACAATACAGACATCCTAGGGAGGCACCAAGTGTTGACTCTGCAGTTTCTTTGAGGAACTGGGCTGAAAGTCAAATCACATATAATTGGAAAGCAGGGATCCTATAAGTGAAATTAACTGGATGGTTTTCTGTTATCTTTTTGATGCCTCATGGGTTCAGTCTTGCTGTCTGAATAACCTTTTGGAGTCTTAAAGACAAAAAACCCCTAAACCCTTCTCTTGTTGTTGGGAGTGGCAACTGAGTGTCCAAAATACTGATTTTTAGCTGTTTAGTCTCTTAATGCATGTTGAATTTACCAAGAGACTTTACACCTTAGTGTTCTTTTTTTTTTTTAAACTACTCCTGCTCAAATTGATTCTTGTATGGATTTGTTATTTTAATTAATTAATTCTATGGATTGAGTCTAAATTATTCAGTTAGATGAAAGATTCTGTGCTTGGTTTTTTTTGTTGTAGTGGATTTTTTTGTCTTTAATGAAAGAATGCAGTGAGAGGGAAGGAAAAATAAGAGAAGAATGGTTGGAATATCACTGAATGGTTTATTAGTCACTGTTTACATGGCTGAGCTGTGTAATTTATCCTGATTTCCTTCCACAGGACTGGTGAGTAACGTGGTTTTCACAAGTCATGCCACAGAGCAGAGGCACCCACTCCTCGTGCAGCTGCAGAGCCTGATCCGAGCAGCAAATCCTGGAGTTTCCTTCATCCTGGCAGAAAATGGGATTGTAACGAGGTAACTTTCATCAGGATTTATCACTTCTGGCACATGGGCCACGAGCACTCAGACACTTCTGTTCTCATGTTTGTACTCTGGTGATTTATAGGAAGGAAATGCAGATTTTTCTTAATTGCTTCTCGTGCAAAAGGGATTTTCCCTTTACGTTTATGGGCATATAAATACAGGGATTAGGAAATGTGTTTTGTTTGCAGAGTGTGATTTATGTTACTGTTACTGCCATACTAAAGGAAAAGTGCTCTTAATTTTAAAGTCACTAGCACATAATGTTTTATGTAAGTAGATAGTGGCCATTTTATTTAACTTAGAAAATGAAAAATCTTCATTTTTATCTCTTTACAGGAACGAGGATATTGAACTAATTCTCTCAGAAAGCAGTTTTTCAAATCCTCAGATGATGAGAGCTCGATATTTAATGTACCCTGGCTGGCAAGTATCTAGACTGAGAAGTATTAAAACTATTTTTCTAATTAACTTGAAGATTAAAATGTTTCACTAACTTAATTTATATTTTTTTTTCCTAAGACGACTCATTTGGAACAGGCAGCAGCTTTGTAAATCATCTTTAAGAGAGCTGATGATTATTCTTAGTGGATACAAGATTGCTGGCCTTTTATGGGGGGAAAAAGCTCCTTTCTGGACACTATTTAAATCAATGGCAAGATTACTGTTGCTTTCCAGAAGAATAGGCAAGAACCCTGTGGGAATAAGCTGGGAAGGATTGGGATGGGTGAGGTCAATAATGAGTGGAGTAATTTCATCCTGACAGCTATTCAGCATTACTGGAATGAACTTGCTCTGTCAGTCTGGCCATTAGCAGAGCAATTATTCACAAAACCCAGGAACCTCAGTGACAGCCTTGGCACAGCTGAGGCACAAACCCACGTGGCACCAAACTTTCCACTGAACACCGAGGGAGATTTCTCCTGGCTCAGGGCTCTTCACACATCTTGTTGCAATTCTCTCTGCTGCACCTTTTTGGCAGAAATCTGCAGTTATCAGCCATCATTACTCCTGGCTGACCAAGCTCTGTGCTGGAAACATCATTTATTTATCATACCTTGCAGTCCTCTGTATCTCTTTATTAATAAATTTGGTTCTGAGTTGGATGCAAGTAGCCAAGTAAAGCTACTGGAGTGAAGAACAAGGCTTGCAGTGAGGATATTGAATTAATATCATCAGAGCTGCTTGTGGATTGCATGGAGCCAAAGACAGAGAGCAGGAAAGGAAAATATTTCAAACTTTTGGGCAGCTGTTAATATGTTTGATGACAGTATGCAAGAATTGGATCTGGGTAGTGTGGAACAGAAAGAAAGAGCAGCAGGAAGAGCATCAAAAGCATCCAGGGAGATCTTACTGCAGCCTTGCAGTACCTAAAGAGGGCTTATAAAAAATGAGTAGAATGAGTTTTTACATGAGTAGATGGTGACAGGACAAGGGAGAAGGGTTTTAAGCTAAAAGAAGAGATTTAATTAGATGTTAGGGAAAATGCTTCTCTGTGAGGGTGCTGAGCCCTGGCACAGGGTGCCCAGAGAATCTGTGGCTGCCCCTGGATCCCTGGAAATGTCCAAGGCCAGGTTGGAGCAACAGGGCTTGGAGGAACCTGGACTAGAGGAAGGTGTCCCTGCCTGTGGCAGGGGTGGCAATGAGATGATTTTTAAGGTCCATTCTGACTCAAACCATTTCATGACTCCATGAAAAGGACTCCTGAGTGCTTTGACCAACATAATACTGTTGGCAGCACATTTTCATGGAGAAGAAATCTCTGTATTTTCCTTCCTCTGAGCAAGGCTCATCTGTGGTGAAAGAACAGATGTTGTATGCTGGATGAGAAGCAGAAGCTCCTGTGATTTCTGTCTGTTGAAGGTGTTTGTTTTTGCCTCCAGGTATGAGGGTAAATACGGGGCTGGGCCCGTGTTCCCTCCCATGGTTCAGATCTGCGTGTGGTTCAGTCGCCCTCTGGAGAAAACACGATTTGTGACCAAATGCAAAGGTACCAATGAACTTTGCCTGACTTGATTGAAATCCAAGTTTGGGATGCTGAGGGATAGAGGGGAAGGAAGGCACTGACGTAGCACAGTGATTTAATCACTGCTGAAGTTAAGTTTTAATTGAAAACTCAGCTTTCCTTCCTAAAAGTACAGTAAATTCTGTTCCTTAGTGTCTGCTCTGGAAAATTGTCCCATGATTTTTGTTCAGATGAAAATCTAATTGAATTTTTGGTTTCTAGGACTGAGACAACTTCCTGTGTTTGCTTTTTATTTTATGTCTCATTGTATTTGGTAGTGTTGAAATACAGTTTTATAAGTGACCATCAGCTTCTACTTTTTATGCCAAATAATTCTTTGTAGCTACTAGAAAAGAGGCTCTTCTCTAGAGTAGATACATTATTAAACTTCTTCTTCTCTCCTTAGCCAAGTAGTATTAAAGAGGTGGATTTTACCTCCCACACACACTGTGGGAGTTCCTTATGCCAAACACACCTTATTTCCCAAACTCCAGGGCAAAGAATGAGAAAATAAATGTTACATAGTGGTACTCCAAGGGGACATGGCAGCTTTTCCTTTGGAAGCTACTGGGATGTGGATTAGAGATCAGTTGCACAGGTTTTACCAGAAGCCTCCACCAAGGAGAAGAAAAAGAAGTTGAGATAATCTGTTTGTCTTCTGTTTCAAACAGCAATTAAGTCGTTGCTCAAGCCAAGTCCATTTTCTGGAAACATTTATCACATCATGGGCAAAGTGAAGTTTTCAGGTAAGGGCAAATTACTGCTGAGGTGTTGTGATCACACTGCATGTTATGGGTGTTTAAAAAAGTATTTCTGTCCTGGATTCTGTCTGCACCAGTGTTGATGTTAGATTAGATTAGCAATTATCAGACCCTTCCTTCTGTCTTCTCCTTGTTAGATGCTGATAAAGTCATTGAAGTCTGTCACAACACAGCAGCAAATTCCCTAAGCCTGGTGCCTGTTTCGGAGGGGCCAACTCCTCCTGATTCCAGAAATGATCCCAGAGACTGCAGCAGTCAACAGGAATATTTCCTTGTGTTCATTGGCTGCTCCCTGAAGGAAGAGGATATCAAAGATTGGCTCAGAGAAACTGCAAAACAGGTTTGTGGGCAGGCTTCCTTTTGTTCAGTGCTTGGCATTTCTTAACAAGCAAAGGAAATATCCGAGTTGTCTCAGTGAAACATTTGGGTTTCTTAATTAATCTCTTTTTTTTTTTTTTTTTCCCTACCAAGGTATTGACATTCTAGGGTTCAAATGGATTTCAGGAAGGGGACTAAGAGTTTACAAATGTGTGTTGTAATCTCTGTATTGTTTTAGTGCTTGCTACAGCTTATTCATGGATTGATTTGTTCTTGAATGCTTGAGCAAATGGATTATGTCCAGGATAAACACAAGATGATTTAGCTGAGCTGTGATTGCCAAGGGCTGAAGTGTGCTATGAAATAAATCTTCTTCCAGTACCTGAATGCTGGCAAAGCTTAAAATTTGTTTTGATACACTAAATTAAACCTCCTTGGAAGTAATCCACTGAAATGGAGGGTAGAGTCCTGTTCATTTTGTCATCTTTAATTAGTGTATTTCTGCATGGCTGATGTATCCATGCAATAAGGAGTAAGGAGCAGGGAATGTGGCTGTTGTAGGAAGCAGAGTTTGCACAGAGGGACTGCCACAGCTGATTGACAGAATCACAGATCCATAAAATCCTGCAATGGTTTGTGTTGGAAGGGACCTTAAATCCCATCCAGTTCCACCCCTCTGCCATGGGCAGGGACATCTTCCACTCTCCCAGATTATTCCAAACCCTGCCCAGCTTGGCCTTGAACACTTCCAGGGATCCAGGGGCAGCCACAGCTTCTCTGGGCAACTTTTTGGAACATTTCTAAGTTAAAAAATAACTCCATGTTACTTCTATATGGATTAGGATTTGCACAACATCTCCCTCCAAAAATTTGTGTAGGAAGGGAAAAGTGTTTCCTGCGGACTGTGGCTGGATCAGTTGCTAAAGTTCTAAGATTTCTGAGGTTTTTTAGTTTCTGAGATGCTCAGGTTCTCATCTTCTGGTCCCCTGTGTTTAAATACAGGGAATTAATCCATTTTCTGTGCTGATTATCTCATGCTCTGTACTTACCACAGGGTTAAAATATGGAGACAAATGCTTTGCCATGTAAGAAAGCTCTTTGTGGAATACTACTTAAATTTTATGAAAACTTGGAACTTAAATGCTTATCTCAAGTGTGAAGTGTTTCCTCTTTGAGCAATTCAAGACTATAAATACTTTTTGTACAGTCATGGCTAATTGAGGGTTTCAGATAGCTCTAAGAGTTACCACATGCTGCAGGAAAGAAAGGGATTACAGAATTTCTCAGGCTCAAAATGAAGTTGTTTTTCTGTTCCTGTGCCAGCTTTCTTACAGGAAAGCTGTATTTAAATTGTCTTGTCTGAAATACTTAACAGACTTTTTAATTTCTGAGTGTTTTCTGTAAGACCAGTGAATTTTTATTTTTGTTTTCAGAACATAGTTGTGAATGCCTTCATAGAACTGAATAATTTAAAAAATGAATTTTTTGAAATACATGCTTCTATTTGGTGGTTTGGTTTTGCCTTTTTTTTTTTTTCATTGATTTTTTAACCAAATAAGCTGTGATATCACACTGTCATTCTGTAGTCACATAACTGGAATCTCCTTCTTTTTACAGAAACCTCAGAGGAAAGCCCTGAAAACCAGAGGAATGTTAACCCTTCAGGAAATCAAAAACATCCACGTGAGTAACAGCAATAATTTACAAACCCTTCTTTTGGCTGATTTCCCTTAAATATCCATCTGGATGACAAAGCACCTGCCACAACAAATGTGCTGAGCACTAAATTATTAATGCACTTATGGAGCTGTCCAGGAGGGATTTGAGATATAAATCTGATCTCAGAGTTCCAAATTCACTCTGGAAAGCAGGAGAGGGTGTGAAATTTGCCATCTTTGGTGCTGTAATGGCCCTTCCATTTTCTTTTATCTATTTGAGTTTGTAAGGACTGTCCCTACAGGTGTTTAATTTAAATTCTTTCCTCCTGCAGGTGAAACGCCACTTGGATCCGCTTCCAGCTGGTTATTTTTACAATGGGACTCAATTTGTGAATTTTTTTGGTGACAAAATGGATTATCATCCATGTATCCTTTAAAATTGAGAGTTTTGGGGAAGGTTTTAGGTAGGCAGTGAACTGTGCAGCTCTGAAATGTTAAGTGCCAAAGCAGATATGGTAAAGAACCAGTTCCTTGCCAGCTAAAGCTTAGTTTTAAAGCCTTTTTTGAAAGATAAGATCTCAGAAACAGAATAGAACCAACAAAACAAACCCCAAACTGCCCATGAGCTCATGCAGGGAATAATTTATCGACCACAGCTTGTCAAAGAAATATTTTTCAAACCAAATAGTGCTGTAATAGCACTGAATGCCTGGGCACGACTGATAAAACTTCCAAATGAATGTAATTTCATGTGTGCACACACTCAAGTGAAAACAATCATATTTTTGTCCTTAGTATTACCCTGGAATTCCTTGCCAAGGTTCCAGTGTATTCCTCTTGGCCTTGGTCCCCACCTGGGGACAGGGTCAGTGGTGGCCACAGCTGCACTTGATGATCTCAGAGGGCTTTTCCAGCTTTAATGATTCTGTGATTCTCTCATTTTCATACCTTCCTTTTGCTTCTGTCTTTGGTCACCAACTTCCAAATTGGTTTTATATTCCTGGTTTACTTTGCACCTTAACTTCTCCAAGTAAAAAACAGAGTTATTTTCTGGGGACAACTTAAAAATTTTAAACAAGCAGATTTCTGTCTGCAGGGCACAAAACCCAACAGAAACTTGAATTTCAGTATTCACTGGAAAATTATGGATGCCCCTAGATCCCTGGAAGTGTCCAAGGCCAGGTTGGATGGGGCTTGGAGCACTCTGGGATAGTGGGAAGTGTCCCTGCCCTACTTTAAGCTCCTTCCAACCCAAACTATTCCAGGATTCTTCCCTCCACCTCCCCCTTGGTGTTTGGCAGGGTTAACCCCAGACCTGGTTAACCCTTTCTGGGGAATTTGAATTTTGGGCAGAGTTTTAGACTTGTGTTTCAGCAGAACAGCTGGAAATGTGTTCAGAGAGTCCCAGAATGGTTTGGGTTGGAAAGGACCTTGAAGCTGATCTTGTTCCAGCCCCTTCCAGGGATGAGGAGTCCAAAAACTCTTTGGGCAACCTGTGCCAGGGCCTCACCACCCTCCCAGGGAAGAATTTTTTCCTGCCATCCCATCTAATCCTGCTATGGTTTTACTTCCCTTAGATCTTCCTCCTGTCTGGGAAATATCCCTCATGCAGCTCCTTTGTTCCTTGGGAATGCTGAGTTGGGGGAGCTCTGACTGTAGAACTTCTAGAAAGTAATATATTGAATTTCTGCTTTCACTGAGTGTCCCAGAACTGGCACTTCCTTCAGACTTGGATGTTCTTCTCCTAAATTCCATTTGCACAAATGTTCTTCCTTCACCTTTCCCAACCAGTAATGGACCAGTTCATGAATGATTACTTGGAAGAAGCCAACAGGGAAATTGAGAAGTACAACAGGGAGCTGGAGGAGCAGGAGTACCACGACCTCTTTGAGCAGAAGATTTAAGCACGTGGATCCTGAGCGTTCCTGTCCTTGTGTCAGGAACCAAAAATGCTATTTTTGTCCTTCTGGCTCATGAGAAATTGAGTGAAATGTCTGTTTTCAGCACTCCTTCCCAAACTAAGGGATTGTTCCCCTTAGGTTGGCATTTAACGTGGTAACTGCTTAGCTGTTTGTACTGTCAGGATTGCTTCCACTTCACCTTAATTCCAGACTGTACAAAGCATCACCTGGAATCTCTGGCTTGTGGTGGAAACGTGGGAAAAAGAAGAAGGAGGAGGAGACGAGAAGCAAAACTGGATTTATTTCCTAAAAAGGTCAGAATGTAATTGTGGAATTGGGCCATGGTGCAGATATCAAACGATGCCTGGGTGTCCCTTGGGAATCGTTGCACAGGAGCATCGATGGTCAGTGGGGGAATTCAGGATGTGGGATTGGGATGTTCCCAAAGCGAGAAATGGGGGAACAGACTCGGAAGAGTCCCCAGTCCCAGAACTGTTTGGATGTTCCCGAAGCAAAAAATGGGGGAATAATTAAAAAATTTAAGAGAGTCCCTAATCCCACAGCTGCTGAGATGTTCCCAAAGCGAGAAATGGGGGAACAATGGGAAAAACTCAGAATTGGGTCCCTAATCAGCAGCTGTTGGGATGTTCCCAAAGCAAGAAATGGGGGAACATTGGGGAAAAACTCCGAATTGGGTCCCTAATCCCACAGCTCTTGGTGTGTTCCCAAAATGAAGAATGGGGGAACAATGGGAAAAACTCAGAACTGAGTCTCTAATCAACAGCTGTTGGGCTGTTCCCAAAGTGAGAAATGGGGGAACCCTTTCTCAGAGTTCCTAATCCCACAGCTCTTGGTGTGTTCCCAAACTGAGAAATGGGCAAACAGTGGGGAAAACTCCGAAGAGCCCCTGATCCCAGAGCTGTTGGTGTTCCCAAAGCAAGAAATGGGAGAATGATTAAAAAACTTAGAATCCCTGAATCTGCAGCTGTTGGGATGTTCCCAAAGTGAGAAATGGGGGAACAATGGGAAAAACTCAGAACTGAGTCCCTAATCCCACAACTGCTGGAGCATTCCCAAAGTGAAAAATGTGGAAACAGTGGGGAAAGCTCAGAAGAGTCCCTAATCCCAGAGCTGTCAGATGTTCCCAAAGCGAGAAATGGGGGAACAATGGGAAAAACTCAGAAGAGTCCCTAATTAACAGCTGTTGGGGTGTTCCCAAAGCGAGAAATGGGGGAACGGTGAGGAAAACTCAGAATTGAGTCCTTAATCCCACAGTTGTTAGGATGTTCCCAAAGCGAGAAATGGGGGAACAGTGGGGAAAACTCAGATCTGAGTCCCTAGTCCCACAGCTCTTGGTGTGTTCCCAAAGCGAGAAATGGGGGAACAATGGGAAATAATCAGAATTGAGTCCCTAATCCCACAGTTGCTGGGTATTCCCAAAGTGAAACACGTCGAAACAGTGGGAAAAACTCAGAAGTGTCCCTAATCCCAGAGTTGTCAGGATGTTCCCAAAGCCAGAAATGGGGGAACAGTGGGAAGAACTCAGAACCGAATCCCTGATCCCACATCTTTGAGAGAGTTCCCAAAGCAAGAAATGAGGGAATGGGAAAAGCTCAGATGGGCACCTAATCCTACAGCTGTTGTTGTGTTCCCAAAGTGAGAAATGGGGGAACAATGAGAAAAACTCAGAATTGGGTCCCTAATCCCACAGTTGCTGCTGTGTTCCTAAAGCGAGAAATGGGGGAACACTTTCTCAGAGTCCCTAATCCCACAGTTGTTGATGTATTGCCAAAGTAAGAAATGGGGGAACAGAGGGAAAAACTCTAATCTAATCCCACAGCTACTGGATGTTCCTAAAGCGAGAAATGGGGGAACAATGGGAAAAAATCAGAATTGAGTCCCTAATTCCAGAGCTGTTGGTGCGTTCCCAAAGCAAGAAATGGGAGAAAGATTAAAAAATTTATAATCCCTCAATCTGCAGCTGTTAGGATGTTCCCAAAGTGAGAAATGGGGAAAAGTGGGAAGAACTCAGAACTGAATCCTTAATTCCAGAGCTGTCAGGGCATTCCCAAAGCGAGAAATGGGGGAATGGGAAAAGCTTGAATGAGCACCTAATCCCAGAGCTGTCAGGGTGTTCCCAAAGCGAGAAATGGGGAAACAGTGGGAAAAACTGAAGAATCTCTAATCCCAGAGCTGTCAGATGTTCCCAAAGCGAGAAATGGGGGAACAATGGGAAAAACTCAGAATTGAGTCCCTAATCCCACAGCTGCTGGGGCATTCCCAAAATGAAAAATGTGGAATCAGTGGGAAAAACTCAGAAGAGTCCCTAATCCCAGAGCTGCCTGGGTGTTCCCAAAGCCAGAAAGGGGGAAACAATTGGAAGAACTCAGAACTGTGTCCCTAATCCCACATCTTTCAGAGAGTTCCCAAAGCGAGAAATGGGGGAATGGGAAAAGCTGAGATGGGCACCTAATCCTACAGCTGTTGGTGTGTTCCCAAAGTGAGAAATGGGGAAACTATGGGAAAAAAAATCAGAATTGAGTCTCTTAATTTCACAGTAAGAAATAGGAGAAAGATTAAAAAATTTATAATCTCTGAATCTGCAGCTGTTAGGATGTTCCCAAAGTGAGAAATGGGGAAAAGTGGGAAGAACTCAGAACTGAGTCCCTAATTCCAGAGCTGTCAGGGCATTCCCAAAGCGAGAAATGGGGGAACAGGAAAAGCTCGAATGAGCACCTAATCCCAGAGCTGTCAGGATGTTCCCAAAGCAAGAAATGGGGAAACAGTGGGAAAAACTGAAGAATCCCTAATCCCAGAGCTGTCAGGATATTCCCAAAGCAAGAAATGGGGGAACAATGGGAAAAACAAAGAACTGAGTCCCTAATCCCACAGCTGCTGGGGCATTCCCAAAATGAAAAATGTGGAATCAGTGGGAAAAACTCAGAAGAGTCCCTAATCCCAGAGCTGTCAGGGTGTTCCCCAAGCAAGAAATGGGGGAACAGTGGGAAAAACTCAGAATTGAGTCGCTGATCCCACAGCTGTTGGTGTGTTCCCAAAGTGAAAAATGGGGGAACACTTTCCAGAGTCCTTAATTACAGAGCTGTTAGGGCAATCCCAAAGTGAAAATTGTGGAAACAGTGGGAACAACTCAAAAAAGTTCCTAATCCCAGAGCTGTCAGGGTGTTCCCAAAGAGAGGTACGAGGGAACACCGCCACCCCCACCTTTGCCAGGGCACAGCCCATCTCAAAACCTCAGCACAGTTTGAGTCTGCACTTGAAATTCTGACTTTAAAGAAAAGCTATTTATACATTTCAGGGTGAAATCAGTGGAGAAATCTTAATTTCTTCCCAGTCCTCTCATTGGGATTCTGAAAAATATTTCCTGGCTGGCTGCAATGTGCACCTTGCTTAGATTATCCCTGGAGGATTCCTATTGCAGTCCTAAAAACTAGGCAAGGCAAGGGGGAGATTCTTCAGTTGAAGAATTCCTTTTCATGAAGATGAGTGAATTCCAAAGGTAAAAAATAGCAAAGGATGTTACTTGAAAGAGGCAGGAACTTGTTTGTGGAGTTTCCAGAAGAGTTTGCACACCGTAACATTTCACTGTGCTGGTGAGAAATCAACTTTTTAAGTACTTGCAACAGAATTTTTATAGTTCCTAAATAATAGAACAGGAATGCTGGCAGCCTGTCCTGACTTAATTCAGTATCATTTTAAAGGAGGCTTTATAAATCCCTGCCTGAAGGATTATAAAGTACCTTAGCAGCTATTTACAGGTAATTATTGGAGTTTATTTGAATAAGCAGATTATTGTAGCATGCACGTGTTCAGAATTTAGGTGAGAGCAGCCCAGCAGGAATTTTTTTATTTTCATATTCCTTTGCCTTAGGGACAGCTCAATCTTTTACTGCAACTGCAGCTTTTCTTTCTGACCAGATGTTTGTGATACAGCAAGAAATGGAACGAAAAATCTCTTGCAGGACACTTAAAATACTTCAAATGTATCTGCACAGCCTCATCTCGAAGCAGGAAAATGAGATTTAACCCCTGCCATCAAACCTGAGGCTAAATTAGAGTTTCTGCTTTGCTAAAGAGATGTATTTTTTACCTTTGGAATATGAAATAACTGAAATTTCAGTAACCTGAAGCATATTTTAGGTGGTTTTGGTCTTCATTGCTGGGTGCCTGTCCTATGAGTGTTCCACAGTGCAGAGGTAGAATTCCAGGTGCTGCAGGCTGGGATAGAAATATTGATAAGGTTTCATTCCTTGCTTTCCTCCTAGATTTAGAAAGCTGTCTGAATTAAAGACTTTAATATTTTATTTTCTTTTTTTTTTTGCACACCACGAGACTTTATATAAAAACTACTTGTATCCTGTTAGAGGCCAGTAAAAGCCAGCAATTAGTTTGTGTTTTTAGGCTTTCCTGGGGTATTCCCTGGATCACAAGTGTGGAGCATCCTGATAAAGCTCGTGAGTTTTATCTATGCATGGCTAAATTTTAGTCTTAATATCCTGTAGTGCCTGTAGAGCAAAGGTAGCTAGCAGTGGGTTTTGGGGGGGCTGCCAGGGGTTTACAACTCAATCCAGTTGGTTGCATGAAATTATTTCACAGCCCAGAATTTTTAGGAATCCCAAAATTCTGGTGGCTAGCGCTGCAATATAAAGGGGCATTAGGAAATTGAGCTCCAATTGGAATTGCTTTGCCAATTAAGTCAGTGTAAACCCAGCTGTTCCAGTCCCAGTTCTCTCACCTGCAAAGCCATATTTTTAGAGTAGTGGGATGTGATGTGGGAAGAAATTCCAGTGGTTGGGACAGCAGGCACGTGGTGGAGGCTTTGTCTCAACTCGTGAGTGGATACAGAGTAGATTTAAGTGCAATTGATTGAAAATAGATGAAGATGCTGTAGCTGATTTTTGCTCTGCTGAACTCTTTTTAAGAACTCCAATTTGTGCAGCTCTCAAATCAATGTGGAAGGGGCTTGATCCAGCTGGAATTCCAAGCCCTGTGAACAAGAAAAAAAAAAAAAAAAAGGAAATAATTGGGGTATGAGTGTGCAAATTGAGCTGTTCCTTAAAAACTGGAGCAGAAGAGCTCGGAACAAAGGCCTAGAACCCTCCTGTCCTGTGCTGCATGTGCTCTATGGTCATAGCTGTGTATTACAAAGACCTTTCACCAGACTGGTACTGGCTCAATTCATGTATTTTGGTATTGAAAGAAATTGATTACCTCAATTTTTAGCATTTATTTTTGAACTGTGACTTTCAACCAGAACAGAAGAAGAAAAAAAAATAATAAAAAAAAGAAAAATACCGAAATAGTGAAACTGTGACAATGGTATCCTTTAAATGTAGTAGTGCCTTGCAGATGACACCATTTATTCCCCAAATAAATGGATGTCAGGGGTTGCACCCCCACTTTTTTTTTTAAAGGAAAATAACGGTTTTGGTGAAAGGACTTAAAAATTTAACCTAGTGACAAATATTAGCACAAATGGTTAAACTGTTTAAAAGAAAACTCTTTGAGGACTGAAATGCCTGATGCTGCTGCTGTTGAAGAGCAGTTGCTGATTTTTTGGGAGTCAATTCTAACGATCAGCAGCTCTTTTTGAATTTTTTTTATTTTTTTTTTTTAGAAGAGCGTAACTTTTGTACTCTGGTCAAAGCTGTTTGTACTGTATGGAATCCCCAGCCTAGGGGGTTTGGTGTCCTCACTCCTTGGAAGTCGAGGTGAGGATGGAGCTACTCCGAAGGATTGAGGTTTGAACATTTTTTTGCTACTGTATAATTAAAAAAAAAACAACAACAACAAAAAAAAGCACCATTTCTAACCCACTGATGTTTGGATACAGCAAAAGTGCCATTACACTGTTCCTTTTCTCTTTTACTGTACTTGGAAAAAATTGTGTCCAGGCATTCCTGAGCTTGGGAAGTGCTGAAGAGTCCTCAAGGGGTTTCCACGCTTTGCTGACCTTTGTTAGCAGCTTGTGGTGGTGTTTTTTTCTTTCTCCTCACCGAGAATGAGTGTGATCAGAAGTTACTGAAGTTATAGGATTCAAATGTGACAAACTTAGCAGGGGAACCTTTGCAATTTGAGCTGCTCTGCAATCTGGGAGTATTTGAATTTTAAGCTGTGCAATTTGGGATTAATCCAGTTTTACACTTTGCAATTAACACACCGGATTGCAGGGAGGAGTTAAGTTGCATGTGAGAGTTCCCTAATAAGTTGGAATTTTTTTTAAATTATTGTTATTTTTAAATTGAAACTTGTCAGAATTTGCACAGATTTAAGCTCTGGAATACTTTTGGTATTCTTGAAAAGGGAAAAAAAAAAGATTGTGACTAGTATAGTGAATTGTGAACTGTGAGTTGGTAGAGCCACAGGGTTGATCTAATCTTAGGTTGTTAAAAATGTACCTCAGAAAGCTCATGAGAAATTGCTTCATTTTTACACAACAGCCGGATCCTGACCTAACACTTCTCACTTTACAATGTGCCAAAATTCACTTTTATACTAGTTCTCAATGCTTTAATATTTGCAACTCTAAGTTAAAAACGTGTTATTTACAAACACTACTGTAACTTCAGTTCAGCTGAATGGTGTGATTGAAGCTTTTTGCCTCTCGTATTTATTACACAACTTGATTCAGTAAATATAAAATTACCTTTCCATTTATTTTTGTATTGTTTTACACGTTTATACCTGCAGTTTGTGTGACTTTTACACCTGTAACTCAGATGTGATGGAAAGAACCAATAAACAGTATCCATCCACTGCCTGGCTTTGGTTCCTTTAATAAAACTCACAAGTTTCTAAACTGGAATTTTTAAACTTTGAGTGGTTTTCATTTAATTTTTTTAAACTGGCAGAAAGGTGAGTTGTTTGTATTCAAATTAAAATAAAAAAAAGTTAAGGTTTTATGGGATATTTTTTAGCTGCTACTTTAAGTTCAGACCTTCTTGCTTGGGCTTTTAATTGGGTAAAATTCAAACTTGAAGAAGATTCATCTGCTTTGTGCTGCTGTCTCTGTTTTTCAGCAGCTGTGTGTGAGCATAAATTGATATTTACATATTTACAAATAGAGGGAAGTGCTAAACCTTCTTCCTTGTGCTCACAGAAATGAGGATGCAGCTTCAAGATCAATGGACCACAAACCTGGCTGCCATGGAGAGGGCAATCCCAAATTACCCTTCTTTCCCTGAGGGGCTGAGCACGAATCAGATTTTTGCTGGTTAAGCTGAGCCTGCAGCTGATTTTGTGTCTCTGTTTTACATCACTTTTGCATTCGCTGGGGGAGGTTTTGTGCTTGATTTGGTTTTTAGGAATGATTTATGTAAATCCAGCCTGCTTTGCGTATTCCAGGTGTGCACATAAACCAGCAGCTTCTGGGGCTTGGATTTGGGATCTCATCTCAGGGAACAGGGACAGGAGGAGAGGGAACAGCCTCAGGCTGGGCCAGGGGAGGTTTAGTTTGGCTATTTGGGAAAATTTATTAATGGAAAAGGTTATTGCACATTGCTCAAAAGCTCTCCAAGATTACCAAGTCCAACCATTCCCTCAGCAGTGCCAAGGCCACCACTGACCCATGTCCCCAAGTGCCACATCCACACAGCTTTTAAATCCCTCCAGGGATGGGGACTCTACCTGGGCAGCTGTGCCTGGGCTGGACACCCTTTCCATGAAAAAAATGGGGTGTTAAAAATGCTTTGGGAGGCCTTAGATGACGGGGAACTATCTGAGTTTCATTTCCTAGCAGAGATGAGGTAGATTTTCCTGAGCATAACCCAAATCAGGGTTTTTAGTCCTTTTTCTTGCTCTTAATTATCTCGTTTTGGTCAGTCTGGTTGTATCTGGAGAGGTTTCCAGCTCTCCTTGGCTTTCCATGAGCTCCTCTTCCTTCCATGTGAGCTCATCTGGAATTTCTTTGCCTACGTGTCCACCAACAAATGGTGCCTCTTTAGCTTCATAAATTACCAACCTAATTAAAGTAATGAATTCCCAACAGGAATTGCATGAAAATGGGAGCACTTGTTAATTGAATAGCCCTGGGTTTGGCTCCCATTGTACATGTCCCACAAGGTGCTTGTGTGATCCCTCCTATTGAATTGGCTTAAAATAAACCTTCAGGGCAGTTTGATGTCTTGGTAGGAAAGAAAACACCCAACGGGCAAGGCCTGGAGGATTTCAATAGCTTTACTGCTCCAGGACAGACAGAAAAACAACAAAAAAAAGCATGGAAAGAAAAATGTGGGTGACCCATTCATGGCTAGGAATTCAGCAGGCACACAATGCATTGTATAGATCACTGCAAAACCGCCCCACACGAGTGAAACAGGAAATTTCTAATGGTTCAAATTGAGCCTTCGCTCAACCCCACCAAAAATCTTCCATTTTTCTGTGTTATCAAAGTTAGTTCAATATTTGCTTTATATACATCCTGTTCCGGACTTTGATTCCTCTATACAGCACCTTCCTGCCTTCTAATATCTGATTTATTGTAGAGCACTTTTTCTTCCAAAGGTTTGGCTTTGCCTGCTTTAACTCTTTATCTTGTCAGCCTTTCCTTGGGCCTCTCCTTGCTTTGGGAAGCTCTGGAGAAATGATAACAGAGGAGCTGGAAAAGAAGGAGAGGCTACAGGGGCTGTAGGGATGGGTCACAGGATTTTTGGGGCACAGATCTGGAATATCCAAGGTGCTTGAGTGCATCAAACCAGAAGTCAAGATCTTAAATATCATCCAGTTCCAACCCCCTGTCCTGGGCAGGGACACCTTCCATCCTCCCAGGTGGATCCAGCCTGGCCTTGGACACTTCCAGGGATCCAGGGGCAGCCACAGCTTCACTGGGCACCCTGTGCCAGGGAATGATTCCTTCCCAATATCCCATCCATCCCTGCCCTTTGGCAGTGGGAGCCATTCCCTGTGTCCTGTCCCTCCATCCCTTGTCCCCAGTCCCTCTCCAGCTCTCCTGGAGCCCCTTCAGGCCCTGCAAGGAATTTGAAGGTGTCCCCAGACCCTTCTCTTCTCCAGGACTCGGAGCCTTCCCACACCCTCCCAGCTCTGGGGCTGGATTGGGATCACTGCCCTCCCCAGGCTCTGGAGATCTTTGCATCCCTTGCCCATCCCAGGGAAATGAGGAGGAAGTTCTCTGCTCCAGGTCAGGATGGATGTCACCAGCCTTCAGGGAAGGTCCCAGAGGCAGGGTGGATGCTGAAGACTCCTGAAAGATGTGTTTTCTTATGCAGCAACAGGGAATTTTGTTCTATTTCCCTGTGGAACTGTGGGAATCCAGGGCTTCCCTCTGGCTGCACTGGCAGGTCTGGGACCCTGGCAGGGGTCAGGAACCCCCCTGGACAGAGCCCCCAGAGACACTGGCTGTGATCTCTGTCCATGGAAAAGAGTTTTCAATCTTACAGGATGAATTACCAGCTCTGAGTGTTTGATATAAGTAACAATTAAGTGTGGCACGGGTGCAAAAGTAAAATTTTAGGATTCTAGATTAGGGGTTCAGAGGGAACAAGATGGAGGAAATTGGGTGTGTCTTGTCCTTTTCCTCCTTCTTCATGCCCTCCATGTTTCACTGTGGTGTTGGCATTTTTCTGTTGGTTTAGGCTGGGGACACACTGTCCAACGTAGGTGACAGATATTGGCACGTTATTGTAAATCCAGCACAGGTAGTTTCTGGTATTTAATGTCTGTAACATCCCACTGAGGGCAGAGCCCCACACGCTGCCCTGCAGGACAGAGCTGCGGCAGGGCAGCAGAACATGTTAGAGATAAACAGAATAAACAACCTTGAAACCAGCACAGACCAATTATGGCTTCTGCTTTGGCAGTGGGGCTGAAAGACAGAGACTTTCTACAATCCTGGAATCATCAATACCATGGATTCCGACATGGAACCTCTTGGGCTAAGTGCTGAAGTTCCTCCTGTACCAGCAGACACGTCCCTTCTCCCTTTGCTGGCACAAAGGAGAGCACAAAGACAGAATTGCAAATTGTGGTGCCTCCTAAATGCCTTCAGCTGTCAGAGCTGACCTGTCCCTTTCACTGAATTCCATCCTGAATGGACCATTGGGATTATAGGACATGGGGAATGGCTCCCACTGACAGAGGGCAGAGATGGATGGGAGATGGGGAAGGAATTGTTCCCTGGGAGGTGGGGAGGCCCTGGCACAGGGTGCCCAGAGAAGCTGTGGCTGTCCCTGGATCCCTGGAAGTGTCCAAGGCTTGGCTGGACAGGGTTTGGGACAACCTGGGATGGTGGGAGGTGTCCCTGAACATGGCAGGGCGTGGAATGAGACAATCTTAATGTCCCTTCCAACCCAATCCATTCCATAATTCCCTGCATTCCTTGCAACTTTCTTTCTTCTGAAGATGGAATAAAAAATCTCCTTGAATGATGCAGTTTTCCCCCTAAAATCTCAAGGCCCTGCTGTCCCCTGCCCTGTCCCTGGCAGTGGGATGTGGTCATGACAGAGCAGGGCTGATAAGAGATTTCTCTTTTCAAAGACAAGGCCTGGGCTCGCTTGGTGTGTGCTGCAGATTAAAATCACTGCTGCAAAGCAAACGAAACACAAATGTTTTGGGCTTGGCTGGCTTTGGGAAGGGTGTCCCTTCCGCTGGCCGCTGTTTGTTTGCTTAGGTGAGGTGGGTGCAAGTTCTAACAATAAACTTTCCTGGGAACGTGATGGGAGAGGTCAGGGAAAAAGGAGAAACCAGGAGCAGGCATTGGGATGGGATCCTGGGGGGATGTGGGAGGATGGAGTGGGCACAGAAAGGGTTGGGATGTGCTCCTTCCCGTGTGGCTGTGGATCCTTTCAGCCCCTCCTGCCAAGGTCGGTCATTGAAGGGGTTAAATCAGTGTGGAGTGAGAGAAGAAGGGATGCAGGGTGGTTATGGATGTCCCTGGATCCCTGGAAGTGCCCAAAGCCAGGCTGGACAGGACTTGGAGCACCCTGGGACAGTGAAAGGTGTCCCATGGCAGTGGTGGGACTGGATGTCCTTTCCCACCCAAACCGTTCCATCATTATAATTTAAGGATGTTTAATTACATCATTGTAATTTTTAAATTTAAGGAATTTAAAAAACCTTGCAGTTTGAGCCTGGTTGAAACAGGGAGAGAAAAATCCCATGGTAAGGTCAGACCAGGTGGCTCCAAGCCCTGTCCAACCTGACCTTGGACACTTCCATGGATCCAGGGCAGCCACCCTGTGCCAGGGTGTCACCACCTTTGTAGCAAAGAGCTTCCTCCTAACACCAATTCCAGAAGCCAGCCCCTCCACCTGCTGCTGAGGGACATGAGGAGGGACATCAGCACCATCCAGGACCTGCTAAACTCCATCCTGCACTCACTGGTCCCTCTGGGATGCAGAATTCAGTTCCTGGGAAGCTCTTGCTGCCTCTGGCTCCCAGACACTGCTGAGCTCACCCATCTGCTCTGTCTTGGCAGCAGGGGAGGGGAGGAACAACAATCCTTTTCAATCCAAGCCCAATGTGTGCACAAAGAGCCCTGAGGATTCCTCTGGCACAGCCCTGGCGGGGGAATTCGGCTGCTGGAGTGGCCTGGGAGGAGTTTTCCCCCTGTCCTGGCTCAACCTTTTGTTGGAAGTGAACGTTTCTGACTGTCTGCAGCCAGCCTGCCGTGGCTGAGTGTCTCTTGCTCTCCATGGAGGTGCTCTCATCCCTTTTTGTGCCTGTGGGAGTCCATCCAACATCTCCAGCACAATTCCTGCACTGTTGCAGAGAGCCTTCAAAGCCTGAGCCATGAAGACACT